AAGGCCTAGGGGGCTAATACTTGGCCCATAGCATGCTGGCATGGAGCCCTACAAAGTTTGTTCAAATGAATGACCTTGGCCCACTTTCAAGGTCACAGGGGTCAAATATGTTAAAATATACAAAGGACTTCATCTCAATAAGCAAAAGTCTATGAGTGCCGATATTGGGTCTGTAGCATGCTGGGAGGAAAGGCTACCAAGTTTATTTAAATGAATGACCTTGAACAACTTTCAAGGTCAGAGGGGTCAAATATGTTAAAATCTTTAAATAACTTCTTCTCAAATACTAGAAGGCCTAGGGGGCTAATACTTGGCCCATAGCATGCTGGCATGGAGCCCTACAAAGTTTGTTCAAATGAATGACCTTGGCCCACTTTCAAGGTCACAGGGGTCAAATATGTTAAAATATACAAAGGACTTCATCTCAATAAGCAAAAGTCTATGAGTGCCGATATTGGGTCTGTAGCATGCTGGGAGGAAAGGCTACCAAGTTTATTCAAATGAATGACCTCAACCCACTTTCAAGGTCACAGGGGTCAAATATGTTAAAATATACAAACGACTTCTTCTCAACAAGCAAAAGTCCATGAGTGCTGATATTGGGCCTGTAAGATGCTTGGAGGAGAGGCTACCAAGTTTGTTCAAATGAATGACCTCAACCCACTTTCTAGGTTTGGCTTGCTTTTTGTCAGATGACCGTTAAGGCCCATGGGCCTCTTGTTTTATAAGGCTATTGTGTTGTTTTTCTTCAATTTTATTTTTAAGTGCTATTAAAATTGAGTAACAAGTACCTGTGTATGTATACACACAATCGACCCTCCCTACAACAAGACTATCTGATTCCTAAAAACATTCACATTGGTATCCACTCAGATCCTCCTATTTTTCGTAGACTTTCTTCTTTACCATCTGGGTCTGATGATATGATGTGGATGGGGGTTTGCTAAGGAAATTCTGCCATCTTGATTTCATTGCTATGTGGAATGACTTTGATAAATCAGACAAGGTACCGGTGGAACATGGAATGACTTTGATAAATCAGACAGGGTACCGGTGGAACGTGGAATGACTTTGATAAATCAGACAGGGTACCGGTGGAATGTGAAATAAGTTTGTTAAATAAGACAAGATATAGGTAGAACATGGAATGACTTTGATCAATCAGACAAGTATCGCTGGAATGTGGAATGGCTTCGATTAATTAGCCAAGGTACAGGTGGAACCTGGAATGATTTTGATAAATCAGACAAGGTACAGGTGGAATGTGAAATGAGTTTGATATATCAGACAAGGTACCGCTGGAATGTGGAATGGCTTCGATTAATTAGCCAAGGTACAGGTGGAACCTGGAATGATTTTGATAAATCAGACAAGGTACAGGTGGAATGTGAAACGAGTTTGATATATCAGACAAGGTACCGCTGGAATGTGGAATGGCTTCGATTAATTAGCCAAGGTACAGGTGGAACCTGGAATAATTTTGATAAATCAGACAAGGTACAGGTGGAATGTGAAATGAGTTTGATATATCAGACAAGGTACCGCTGGAATGTGGAATGGCTTCGATTAATTAGCCAAGGTACAGGTGGAACCTGGAATGATTTTGATAAATCAGACAAGGTACAGGTGGAATGTGAAATGAGTTTGATATATCAGACAAGGTACCGCTGGAATGTGGAATGGCTTCGATTAATTAGCCAAGGTACAGGTGGAACCTGGAATGATTTTGATAAATCAGACAAGGTACAGGTGGAATGTGAAATGAGTTTGATATATCAGACAAGGTACCGCTGGAATGTGGAATGGCTTCGATTAATTAGCCAAGGTACAGGTGGAACCTGGAATGATTTTGATAAATCAGACAAGGTACAGGTGGAATGTGAAATGAGTTTGATATATCAGACAAGGTACCGCTGGAATGTGGAATGGCTTCGATTAATTAGCCAAGGTACAGGTGGAACCTGGAATGATTTTGATAAATCAGACATGTTAACGGTGGAACATAGAATATCCATCCTATTTTTATCTACATGAATGGCTTTTCAGAGTAAGTGCAACAGCAAATTATTCGTGGATGACATTGCTGGGGAAAACCAATGTAGACGAAGAATCAGATATTCGTAATACAATGCGGCGTACAAAGTTAACGGTCAGAAGGTTGACAACTACGGTGTAATACATCAAAATGTACATATATTGGTGTCAACAACATACGGGTGTCGTATGTGATTAAATAACAACGTTGATTAAACAAGTAGACGAGGAGAAATGTAGGTTTCAGAGTCTTCTTCGACAGAAGTCATGTCACTCTAAAGAATATTTTAAGGTGACTGGAATGTTTCAGGATTTTTTTCTGACAATTTACAAAGAAATAACCGGACCTCAAGAGCTACATTTTCCCCCATGGGATAGACAATCAAGGTAAGGTGAGCACCACATCGTTGGGAATGAATGCCAGCCATGTACCTAACTTTTGTAAGATGGATAACACTCAAATCTCAAGCCATCTCCCTTCCCTTCTTCCATCTGCTTGTCTTCCCTTTTACCCTCTGTTTGTCTTCCGTTTTCCCTCTGCTTGTCTTCCGTTTTTCCCTCTGCTTGTCTTTCTTACTTCCCTCTGTTTGTCTTTCGTTCTTCCCTCTGCTTGTCTTCCTTACTTCCCTCTGCTGTGTTAGATGAGGTACGATATTCAAAATGATTAAAGACTTCCATCAATATTGAAGATCATCATCACCAAGTTCCTCTTTCTTTCCGTCACGAGCCTTGCTGAAACCCCAGCTGTACTCGTGGACATATATGTGAGAATATCTGTCACTTTTGTTTGAGTGTTGTCGTTACGATGTTGATAGAAACGTCCTCTTTGATAGATTATTAAACGGTTTACAAGTACCTCGTGATTTAGATTTGCTCTTGTTTGGTAATAAAAATACCTCTTGACACTAACTGGCTTAATAAATGTTTTTCGTATAAAATGTCTTGCATAACAATATTGACCCACGATGATATAATGTGGATGGGGGTTGCTCCCATCTATGAAACGAAAAAAACATATGGCTGCCTTAAGCAACTCTCAACCAAAGACTGTCGGGTTGGTTTTGACGACATCATTGATGTTTTAACTATAGTAAATTATGTAATTCGACTGACGGGTTGGTTTTGACGACGTCATTGATGTTTTTGGCTGTGGTAGAGATTATTTCGACTGACGCGTTGATTCTTGATTCTTCACTTACAAAATTGCATTTTTATTATTTATTTTTCAAAATATGCAGCAGACAAAAAAATCTGCTCTTTGCTGCTGTTTTGCTGTCGTTTTTTTTACTGCTGTTTGTTATTTGCTATTGTTTGTTGTTATGTGATGTTGTTTTGATACTGTTTGCTGCTATTTGTTGTTCTTTGCTGTTGTTTGTTGTTACGTGCTGTTGTTTTGCAAATATTTTGCTACTGTTTGCTGCTGTTTTCTTGTTGTTTGCTGCCGTTCATTGCTATTTGCTGTTGTTTTCTGCTGCTTGTTGTTATTTGCTTCTGTTTTGCTGCTGTTTGCTGTTGCTTACTGACGGTATTTGAATGCAAAAACTGAGTTTTTGCTGTATTTATTGACAAAAATTTAGCAATTTATATTTTTAACTGCTTTATATTTTATACCCTGTCTGATTGACAAAGTAATTCCATGTTCCACCGGTACATTGTCCTATTTAACAAAGTTGTTCCACGTTTCACCGGTACCCTGTCTGATTTATCAAAGTCATTCCACTTTCCAACCGTTCCTTGTCTTATTCAACAACGTTATTTCACGTTCCACCTGTACCCTGTCTGATTTATCAAAGTCATTCCACGTTAAATCCGTTCCTTGTCTTATTCAACAACGTTATTTCACGTTCCACATGTACTTTGTCTGATTGATCAAAGTCATTCCACGTTCCACCTGTACCCTGTCTGAATTATCAGTCATTCCACGTTACATTGGTACATTCAGTGTCAGATTTAGTTTCATGCACAAAAACGTGCTGTTGGCACACTGTTAACAGATCCCGAGTCCGTGTTATATTCTCCAACATAGGTCGTACCTCCTAAATTTCTTGTGACAAATAACTGTATCAAATGCTTTGAGTAATACCTGTTGGATGACCAATGTTGACCATGTGAATTAAGATTTTAAGTAATTCTTGTCCGTTGTTCTGGCAAGTTTCTTGCATTAATGGGTTGAAAGAAGATTAAGCTTTATTAATTTTCACGGATATGTTATAATGCACGGTTGTTATCTGAAGTCATGGTCAGGATCGCTGTTCAAACTGTCCAGTAATTAATAAGCTTTCTCCTTATTACCTGAAACTGTTTCCCCTTAAAATATTTCAATTCCGTTATCTTGTTACTTAAGTTTTCGATTTCATTTAATTTCACTAACTGTTATCTTTATATTTCTGCAGTTTTTAGTACTCCTGCATCGTTTATAGTTTACATTCACAAGCAGGCCTCCTCCATAGATTCCGAAGTTATGTGACGTTGTTATGTATGTAGATGTATGTGTAAGGTACGACTGGAAAACCTCTTCTATCCTTTAAAAAATAAATCGTCGGTAGTCGCTATTAGGCATTTAAAAAAAAATAAAAATAATTAAAAATAGTTATGATTTATTTTTCAAGCAAGTTACACGTTCAGTTGCTGACAGAAGACCTACCAATTCTGGAGACATATATAACGTTATAATATGTCTCTGGACCTACAAATATAAATGTAAAGATAATTTATATTACAAGGTAGCAAGTTATTAATTACTCAGGTGGCGATAACAATGAATTTCCCAGCATGGCAGACGTTTCAATCATGTTTTCAGTAGGCTACGGAAGAAATTAATAATATCTGCACGAGTTTATCTGTACCACAGTTTCGCGCGAAAAATATTACTCCGGAACTCTTCTGAATTTTCTGCACAAAAGAGAGATACCGAACTGTGCAATATGGCGCCATACATGAAAACATTGCCATGCTGAAACTGTCACTGTGAAGAAAATTACCATTTATGGTCCCTATCAACTATCTATGCAAATACAGTGAGAAATAGAAACGATTTACCAATATTTATGCAGAGAGATCAAAATTTATTACTCAGCAGTTTACTGTAACTAACCCTATCTTCGTATCCTGCAAGGGACATCGGACTATGGTCGTATGGATTCGATGTTGATATTAATTTGTTGAATGTTTATGTATTCAATATTTTGTTATTTTGTGATAATAGTAACCGCTCATTTCAAAACTGTGATCACTTACTATGATTCAGGACGAAATGTATTTCAATACATCCTTAGTTTTTGTAAACAACACTATTCAATTGTTGATCATTCAATTTTCAGACAATTTGAATTGAGCAAGATGGATACAGATTTTTTAGGAGCCATCAGGGATGAGATTGCATTGGAAGGTTTGGATGGTATGAAATCACATCACTAACTCCATTGATCATAAGATGAATGCTATAACTGTTCAGATGAAAGTAAAATATGAACATTGGTCAACATACATGATTGATTCTTTACTTGTCTCTGCATTTATGTGAAGTATGCAATTCTCTGATTTCTTTGTCAAACTTCTTTTATAACATGAATGAGCTAAAAAAATTATAGTTTGATACCATATTAGTTGTATAGAAGTTGCTAACCTATTCTTGCCATTGTACGTTTAGCTGGTATATATTAGCAAGAATTGATACTTGGCTAGAATAGGTCGGTGATTATTATCACTAACCAGTTTAGATTACAGGTCATGACTGTCATTTGATATAACTCTCAAATGTTAGGTAGTTGTAATTAATTCTTGGGTCCTTGTGAGAAGGTTAAGATATGGTATAACCATGGTATAAAAGTATGACATGAGGAGGCAGATCAATTATCATCATGTTATTTTATGCTGACTGTAATGTTTACAGGCACCTGTCATACAAGTTTCTTGTCTTATGTATATTTAACGTTGTTAGAGTATATTTATAGGTGACACTTAATTGATCTTGTCTTCATTTCTTACATATTATGATGTGTATTACTACAGTATATTGTATTCTCACACAACTGTGTGGTGTCTAGCTTAAAAGCTTGTATCCAATAGATCTTTTTATTTATATATGGTATCTGAAGAAATCACCAAATCATAGATTTAAGCATATATAGTTAATATTTCCAGGTACATGTAAAAAACACCATTGAATTCAATGTTGAGCTATATGATATAATTTTATAACATATTAATGCTTTAATTTTTAGAATCATGTACAATATAAATTAATTTCCTTTTAACAATCTTGTTTTTATTTAATTTTCAGGAATAAGTATTGAGTCCCTATGGGTGAGATTATCCAGGAGACAGAACTTCTCCATCAAACTGACAGACAAGTCGAAGGCATACCTATGGCGGTGTCTTGTCACATTGCATGGCTTAGAATATTATGAAATCCCTGAGCCACGGCCTCCACTAGTTATTTACAATAGCTTGGAGTCCTTTGATCCTGATTCTGGACGACTGATAGAATTGGTAAGTATAGTGTAAATAGGTATCATTACGTTAAAAGGAATATCATGTGACTATGTTTTTTGTTAATGTGTTAACACATAATGTCACTCCTTATTGTTGAAGGTAAAATTAATTTGGTAGAGCATTGAATATTTGTGTGACTGTATATCCAATGTCTAGGTTTTCTCCCTAGTACTTGAGACAGGTTGAGTTTACAGAAAGCTGAAATCGGGACTGTTCTGTGCTGTTATGGTTGTGTCCATAGGCAAAATACTTAACCTCAGTTTTTTTAATGCTATGTGACGGGCCTCCTGTATGTATTTCAGTGAGGAAGCCAACAACTTCTACAAGAAGATCCAGTCTAAAAATGATCCTGGCTGATGCTATGTTGATAAACTTAGGAAACAAACAAGCAATCCATAGCTATTAGTTGGGATGAATTGGACAGTCATTAATATTGGTGCCTATGGGAAAATAACAATGGTAGACAACAAATTATTTTGAACAGGAATGCCCAATTTTGATTAAAGAAAAGAAGTTTTGTTTGAAATACTCTTAAGTAAGGCCACAGATAAAGAATTATGCAGCTACAATGTTTATTGCTAAATACAAAATTTAAGGAGAATTTTTTATCTTCCTTGGTTTCAATATGTTTATATTTACAGGAACAAGTTCCAGAAGATATCTACCCTATCGACATCATAGGTCAAGATGGTGTTTATGGATCATGCTCGACATTTGACACACGCACAAATATAACAACTTTGGTGAAAGCAGACGAGAAAAGATCTGCTGTAACATTGGAGGAGGCCAGAAATAAGTGAGTATAGGGTTTAGTGTTGTTGGTTACCACAGATCAGAAATATTTCAGTATAGGGTTAAATGTTTTGGGAATCTATAGAACAGAAATTAGACAGTATATGGTGTAATGTTGTTGGTTACCAGCAACCAGAACTATGTCATTATTGGGTTTAGGGATTCCTTTTTTCTCTGGGTATCGTCTAACTGATGAACGTCAGTGTTCTGGTGACGTGTGGGGGCGACCTGCATCTCCTCCAGTGGGGTGGAACCATCTGTAGCAGTGATTGTTTGATTATACTAGGTTTTGTAGATGGTTCCAGGGCCTAATAATGCCTTATCTTAACCCTAGTGTTGAAACATGTCCAGAAGCTCAAAGGAAAAGGAGGGGGTCTATCTAATTTTGGTTTGTGTTAGGGTAATTTCAAAGTATGTCTAATGCCTTAAAAATAATCGTATAATCTAACACTATCCCTAGACCCCTGGACCATCATTATCACAATGTTCTTCTTTGATAAGTCACAGAAAGATCTCTCATGGGTGAGATTTGACAGTTCTCACGCTGGCCACCATTTAATGTTCCAGTCACAGGACTATGGTTAGTGGTTAGATCAGTATTAATTGTAGAGAAACACAATTGGTTTGGAAAGAACATCTAATCATCTCCTGGATTAATTTATCAGTAAGAATTTTATATGAAACAAGTATTCAGTATTCTTATACATTGTTCTACATCAATTGTAAGAATTGACCATTTGTGAGAGAAACATTATTTTATAGTAACAGGAATTACAACAGTTATCAATATATTTTCAGATCTATTAGTGAATTGCCATATTTTATTGTCATTTGAGACAAAATCTCATGATGTACCTATGGAAATTGCTTTTTTTTTGTGCTTCATAAATTTCTAAGATTTTTGGCTTCTGCTGGAAAACACCAGAACTGAATTCAATGAAATTTTGCAGAAAGTTTTTTAGTCAAATTTGAACCAAATTGTAAATTGCATAGTTTCCACCGCAGGGGCCTGAGGGGCACAGCCAAAAGGTGTAAAAATGCCTGAAATTACAAAAATCTCAACACCCAGGTTTGGTAGATTCAAACTCTCTTCATGGATGTTCTTAGTTGCTTTACAAAAATTGTTAATTTCATGACTTTAGGGTCTCAATCATCAGAAATAATTAAAAGTATAGAATTTTTGGTACAGTTTGATAGTATGCACATATTGACCTTGGTTGACCTTTCCAGTATGCACATATTGACCTTGGTTGACCTGGAAAGGCTGATGAGTGTGGTTAAAAGGTTTCAAATGGACTAAAATTTAAAAAAAGACTCAGTTGTGGTAGAACCAAATGCTCTTTATGGATTGAAGGGTCTGACTAAAATAGTCAATTTCATGACTCACTTTTTCCCTGGGGATGGGATACAATTCACTTTATATATGAGAGTTGTCATTTTTGAATAATGTTATGCATAGTTTTTACATTTGCATTATGTGTACAATAAAGTTCATGTTGTCTTTGCTAACAAGATTATTTCTATGATATATGCAAGAAGAACAATACCAGAATTGTAACACAGGTGACTTTCAATTTCCTTGGACCTCTTATCATGTATGTTGTATGCTATGTTTCTGACAGTAATAATTTCTTCAAACAGATGGGGTGAGAAACTGGTGATTGTAGCTTCCCAGGAGCTGCGAGAGAATGCAATATGTGGACCACTGTATGATCCCAGTCACAACTGGTCCAACATGCTTCATGCTTACTGTATTCTTGAGAGGATTGGAAGGTACTCGGGTGCTGTTTTTATCAAACTACTCATTAGTGTCTAGCTTAGTTGTCCGTGTTTACCAAGACGGGCGTCACCAAAATCAATCGGAGAATGAAATGTTTCAACTTTCTTTTGAAGGGGCTTTGGTTGAAATCAGTTTGATAATGTTATAAAGCTGGGAATGCATCAACATGAAAAAGCAAGTGCTGTACTTTCTGTCATTTTCTGAAGCTTTCCACTTATATACAGGGTATTCTGGGATTGGTCTTACCTTAAAAACCATTCCATCTGTATACAGGAGTCATTTTGTCAACATGAACTCATGTTAGACAGTAATGCAATACTTAAATGTAAACCCTGAAAGCAATGTTAATTGTTTGTGTTATACATGTAATGTCATTTGAAGAATCCAGTAATTTTTTATGTCAGTAAATTGCATTAATTTCAATCGATTTTGATTAATTTTGATTAAGATTTAGAGATATTTTTATAAACAAGTAAAGCTGATAAACTATTTCAGTGAAGATCATTCAATAAATTATTCAATAGTATTAGACAAGTATGATTTAAACAAAGACAATCATTGAATTAATAACATGCAAAAATGTGATTGCTGAAAAATGTCTCTTTCCATTGTCCAGTAAAAGTGGCCTGATGTCTTCACTACAGCATTTCTGACAATTCACTTATGAACCATTTGCTAAAAGTGTGATCAAATCGCAAATGTACTGTCAGAACAGCACTCATTTTCTGGAACCAGTCAAAGAGAGGGTGCTATGTTTAACCTTTTGTCTCCTTATAGAGTGTTAAAATAGACTTAAAATGGCAGTTACATTATATTGAGTTATGATAAGCTTTTGTATTATTTTAGGTCACGATTCAATGGCTGTATGTCTGTTGGTCCACTCAGCTTACAGATCTTTAACATGCCGCCCAAAACCATATTCTACCACACGAAAAATCTGGTCAAATTAGGTCTGATAAAAAAACAGGTAAGTTATTAATGTTGTGTAGAAATAGGTAAGTCTCAAAGAAAAAAATCAGTGTAGCAATAGTTTTCTAAATTAGCAAGTAAAATATTCATCGATTAAGTCTGAAGAATATCTGTAATTCTACTAAGTTTTGAGGTCATCTGACCTAAAGGGTGAGCTTTTCACATTTTAAAATTCCTCTTGGGTTCCACCTGTAAAATTCAATTCAAACTTGCCTAAAATGATTCCGAGATGGTCCTGACTAAATTTAAGTTGTTATTTTTTGGGGTTGGTCAGAAATCGAATATGGGTGCCATCTCAAAAATATATTTTAAACTTCTTCTGCAGTTCTTGTAGTGCCAAAATGTTTTCCGTCTTTGTCAAAGCACATGATTGTGCAATCATGGTTTCTCTGAACAACACCAATTTTAAGTGTGTTCCCAAAGTTCTACCTGTTATATTCACCTTAAACTTTGCTGAAATGATATTGAGATAATCAGGACGAAGTGTTGTTAATTTTCATGTCTGTCTGAAATAAAATATTTTTGCCATGACAGCCATCTTCTAAACACGTTGAAACTTATTCAGTTCCACTGGTGCCATTGAGCTGTAATTAGGTGGGAATAATGAGAAACAAAGCCTTTGTTTTTCCTCAGTTTTACAATTATGTGTTTTTGATACTGTCCAATGTCCAGACATTGTGGGCTGACATGTTCTGGTTGTTTTACTGTATGTTTGTATTACAGAGTTTGACAGTCGTTGATGTAAAACACAAGCAGCAGATTCGACGAATTTTCCACTTGGAACGGTTTTATAAAGAGATTCGGTCCAAGTACAGTATACTGTTGCTGCAGGCTTGCAACTACCTGTCTGGTCGTCCTAATCACCGAGATGTTGCTGGTACTGTACGTGAACGCCTGGTATGTTGAGTTTGTAATTGGATAGATTCCCTGTAATAAGGTTATAATTTTTTTCAGTGTTTGTTAAGGCCACTCTAAAGGGATCTAACCACAGTAAAAACTTTTGTATTGATTAAAGCCTGAAGAATGAAAAAAAATATGGTGAACTATTTCTTTCTTTGTTTTTATTTGGTGTAAACTTTATTTGCTGATGCATGTAGCAAGAAGATTTTTTCCTGTCATTGACTGTACTTTATTACTAAAAGACTGAATATCGATTGACCTATTATACCACTAGTTTGAGCTCTGATGAAATTTACAACCAGTTTGAGCATTTTATTTATTTAAAATCTGAGTGCTGAATGAGCTATTAATTACAAGTCTGAGCACTGATTGAGCTATTTACTTTAATTTACAGCGCAGATTGATTTGTCACTCTTTGCTCTTTGTAGGAAGTGGATGCAACCTTATTTAAAAAGTTATACAACAGCTATCCAAATTTCTTGCGTGCTGACAAGTTTCCTTATCGAGAAGTTTATCCCGAGGCTACAGAGGAAGAGTATATGTGCAAGTAAGTACATCTGGTATGGTTACTGAAAACATGAGGTAGTGTATCACAAGGGTGGACAAGTACCTTCTGTTATTGTATCAGAAGAGGGGAAATGTACCTTCTGTTATTGTGTCACAGGAGGGGATATGTACCTTCTGTTATTGTGTCACAGGAGGAGACATGTACCTTCTGTTATTGTGTCACAGGAGGGGACATGTACCTTCTGTTATTGTGTCACAGGAGGAGACATGTACCTTCTGTTATTGTGTTACAGGAGGGGACATGTACCTTCTGTTATTGTATCACAGGAAGAGACATGCTCCTTCTGTTATTGTATTACAGGAGGGGATATGTACCATCTGTTATTGTGTCACAGGAGGAGACATGTACCTTCTGTGATTGTATCACAGAAGGAGACATGTAGCTTCTGGTATTGTGTCACAGGAGGGGACATGTACCTTTTGTTATTGTGTCACAGGAGGAGACATGTACCTTCTGTTATTGTGTTACAGGAGGGGACATGTACCTTCTGTTATTGTATCACAGGAGGAGACATGCACCTTCTGTTATTGTATTACAGGAGGGGATATGTACCATCTGTTATTGTGTCACAGGAGGAGACATGTACCTTCTGTTATTGTGTCACAGGAGGAGACATGTACCTTCTGTTATTGTGTCACAGGATTGGACATGTACCTTCTGTTATTGTGTCACAGGAGGGGACATGTACCTTCTGTTATTGTGTCACAGGAGGGGGACATGTAGCTTCTTTTATTATATCATAACAGGGGATATATACCTTCTTTTATAGTATCACAAGAGGGGATATGTACTGTGTGGTAAGGTATTTCAAGAGGGGACATGCATTGTCATATATTTCTTATAAATGAACATGTATAATTTGTTGAATGCTTTTATGTGTTCATGTTCCAACATTTAAGTGAAGAGTAGTGCTGTAAACTTGTGAATATAACTTTCATTATCACACTGTAAACGTTCTTTAGATTCTCTCTTCTGTTTAAACTTGATCAATTACAGTATTCTTGATATTAAAAGTACATAGATATGCACTGTAATGATGGCATTTGAATGGTGCAATAGGGTTAGTTTTCTTCACTTTGTACAATAGCAGCCTCTCCATCAGACTGTGCCATAGTAGCCACTAAACCAGATTATATGCCTTAGTAGGGAATGCCCCTGTTAGTATATACATAATGTTAGTTTACCTTGGCAGCACGCATCATTCCTTGAGGGATTTGGTCAAACTTCACTTATAAAAGGATCATTTTATCTCATGCAAGATTGAGTTTTAGGGTTGAAGGGTCAGGGTCGAGGCCACTGCTAGTATTTTCAGAAAATTCTTGTCAGCTTTCTTGTAGTTTCATTTTTAATTTAACTTCACACAGTGCTTTATTGCACATAAGTCAAGGTGAACAAGGACACACAAAAATGATAAGCAGTAATAAAACAGATGAAATAACCATTTTTATAGAAATGGACTTTCTGAGAAGATGATTCATACAATCACCATGATTCAGCATCCTTCGGTGAAGAAGGAGGATAGTGAGGAGGAAGGCGGTGATGAGGAAGAGGAAGATGGAGCAGAAACAACAGGAAATGGCCTGTCTGGTGAAGGAAAAGCAGGTAAGTAGGCTAGGGAAGGAAAAGCAGGTAGGTAGGCTAGGGAAGGGAAACCAGGTAGGTAGGCTAGGGAAGGAAAAGCAGGTAGGTAGGCTAGGGAAGGGAAACCAGGTAGGTAGGCTAGGGAAGGAAAAGCAGGTAGGTAGGCTAGGGAAGGGAAACCAGGTAGGTAGGCTAGGGAAGGAAAAGCAGGTAGGTAGGCTAGGGAAGGGAAACCAGGTAGGTAGACTGGGGAAGGGAAAGCAGGTAGGTAGGCTGGGGAAGGAAAAGCAGGGAGGTAGGCTAGGGAAGGGAAACCAGGTAGGTAGACTGGGGAAGGAAAAGTAGGTAGGTAGGCTAGGGAAGGGAAACCAGGTAGGTAGGCTGGGGAAGGAAAAGCAGGGAGGTAGGCTAGGGAAGGGAAACCAGGTAGGTAGGCTAGGGAAGGGAAAGCAGGTAGGTAGGCTAGGGAAGGGAAACCAGGTAGGTAGACTGGGGAAGGGAAAGCAGGTAGGTAGGCTAGGGAAGGAAAAGCAGGTAGGTAGGCTAGGGAAGGAAAAGCAGGTAGGTAGGCTAGGGAAGGGAAACCAGGTAGGTAGGCTAGGGAAGGGAAACCAGGTAGGTAGGCTAGGGAAGGAAAAGCAGGTAGGTAGGCTAGGGAAGGGAAAGCAGGTAGGTAGGCTAGGGAAGGGAAACCAGGTAGGTAGACTGGAGAAGGGAAAGCAGGTAGGTAGGCTAGGGAAGGGAAAGCAGCTAAATAGGCTATGAGGGTGAAAGCAGGTAATGCAGGCATTGAAAGGGAAAGCAGGTAAGTTGGCTTTGAAAGGGAAAGCAGGTAGGTAGGCTACGAAAGGGAACCAAGGTAGGTAGGCATTGAAAGGGAAAGCAGGTAAGTAGGCTTTGAAAGGGAAAGCAGGTAAGTAGGCTATGAAAGGGAAAGCAGCTAAATAGGCTATGAAAGGGAAAGCAGGTAGGTTGGTAATGAAAAGGGAAAGCAGGGGGGTAGGTTATGAAAAGGGAAAGCAGGTAAGTAGGCTATGAAAGGGAAAGCAGCTAAGTAGGCTATGAAAGGGAAAGCAGGTAGGTAGGTTATGAAAAGGGAAAGCAGGTAAGTAGGCTATGGGGATATGGGGAAGAGAAAGCAGGTAAGTAGGCTATGAAAGGGAAAGCAGGTAAGTAGGCTATGAAAGGGAAAGCAGGTTAGTAGGCTATGAAAGGGAAAGCAGGTAGATAGGTAATGAAAAGGGAAAGCAGGTAGGTAGGTTATGAAAAGGGAAATCAGGTAAGTAGGCTATGAAAGGGAAAGCAAGTAAGTAGGCTATGAAAGGGAAAGCAGGTAGGTAGGCATTGAAAGGGAAAGCAGGTAAGTAGGCTATGAAAGGGAAAGCAGGTAAGTAGGCTATGAAAGGGAAAGCAGGTAAGTAGGCTATGAAAGGGAAAGCAGGTAGGTAGGCTATGAAAGGGAAAGCAGGTAGTTAGGCATTGAAAGGGAAAGCAGGTAGGTAGGCTATGAAAGGGAAAGCAGGTAAGTAGGCTATGAAAGGGAAAGCAGGTAAGTAGGCTATGAAAGGGAAAGCAGGTAAGTAGGCTATGAAAGGGAAAGCAGCTAAATAGGCTATGAAAGGGAAAGCAGGTAAGTAGGCTTTGAAGGGAAAGCAGATATTTACGTTATGAAAAGGAAAGCAGGTAAGTAGGCTATGGGGAAGAGAAAGCAGGTAGGTAGGTAATGAAAGGGAAAGCAGGTAGGTAGGCTATGAAAGGGAAAGCAGGTAAGTAGGCTATGAAAGGGAAAGCAGGTAAGTAGGCTATGAAAGGGAAAGCAGGTAAGTAGGCTTTGAAGGGAAAGCAGATATTTACGTTATGAAAAGGAAAGCAGGTAAGTAGGCTATGGGGAAGAGAAAGCAGGTAGGTAGGCTATGAAAGGGAAAGCAGGTAAGTAGGCTAGGGAAGAGAAAGCAAGTAGGTTGTCATGGAACTGTTGTCTAGGGAAGGAAAAGTTGGTAGGTACACTGGGAAAGTGTAGCCTGGTAAATAGGCTGGGAATATGAGAGCAGGTAGGTAGACTGGGAAATGAAACCAGGTAGGCAGATAGGAAATGGAAACAAGATAGGTAGGCTTGGAAAAAAGTACCAGGTAGGAAGTCTAGAAAAAGGAAACGAGTTAGGTAGACTGAGGAAGGGAAACCAGGTAGGTAGACTAGGGAAGGGAAACTAGGAAGACTGAGGAAGGGAAACCAGGTAGGTAGACTGGGGAAGAGAAATCAGGTAGGTAGACTGGGGAAGGGAAACCAGGTAGGTAGACTGGGGAAGGGAAACCAGGTAGGTAGGCTGGGGAAGGGAAACCAGGTAGGTAGGCTAGGGAAGGGAAAGCAGGTAGGTAGGCTAGGGAAGGAAAAACAGGTAGGTAGACTGGGGAAGGGAAACCAGGTAGTTAGGCTGAGGAAGGGAAACCAGGTAGGTAGGCTGGGGAAGGGAAACCAGGTAGGTAGGCTGGGGAAGGAAAAACAGGAAGGTAGACTGGGGAAGGGAAACCAGGTAGTTAGGCTGAGGAAGGGAAACCAGGTAGGTAGACTGAGGAAGGGAAATCAGGTAAGTAGACTGGGGAAGAGAAATCAGGTAGGCAGACTGGGAAAGGGAAACCAGGTAGGAAGACTAAGGAAGGGAAACCAGGTAGGTAGACTTGGGAAGGGAAAGCAGGTAGGTAGGCTAGGGAAGGGAAAGCAGGGAGGCAGACTTGGGAAGGGAAAGCAGGTAGATAGGCTAGGAAAGGGAAACCAAGTAGGTAGATTGGGAAAGTGTTACCAGACAACAGTGTAATATATAATATATATAATTCCATGAATTATTGAAATATTAACATTGATGACTAATTAAAATTGACATGAGCATATGTCGTAGGAGAAAGCATCAAAGCAAGATATTAGACATAAGTCACTTTTATATATAAATCACTGCATCAGCGATTGACAGTGTCATGTTCATGTTAGATGCTGTAAATTACATGTAAAACAATTCTTTTTGTAGGCAAATTTGAGTGGGTGTATGAGAGGACAACCTTACGTCAGTGTTATGACGCAATAAAGAATGTAGGTCCCGAGGGACTGACTCAGACATCACTCACAAAGATGCTTAACATTCGTGAGACCATGTCACGTGTCCTTATTAAAAACATGGTTCGTATGAACATGGTGGACCAAATCCTGAAGGAGAAGGGCAAGCAGAAAGTCAGATAGTAAGTGTTAGTGGTGTCACAAGAAGCATTACTGGATATATGAGATAAGAGTAAATATATTCATGGCCGACCATGAAGCAGACTATTTCTAGACATATTCATATAAAAAATAAGATAGAAGTTTAAGTCTCAAAGTGATCCTATCTCATTTTAATGTCTCTCAGTGATCATATCTCATTTTAACGTCTCACATTATCACAGTGATCCTATCTCAACTTAACGTCTCACATTCTCACAGTGATCCTATCTCATTTTAACATCTCACATTCTCACAGTGATCCTATCTTATCTTAATGTCTCACATTCTCACAATGACCCTATCTCATTTTAACATCTCACATTCTCACAATGACCCTATCTCATTTTAACGTCTCACATTCTCACAGTGATCCTATCTCACTTTAACGTCTCTCATTCTCACAGTGATCCTATCTCATCTTAACGTCTCACATTCTCACAGTGATCCTATCTTATCTTAAAGTCTCACATTCTCACAGTGATCCTATCTCATTTTAACATCTCACATTCTCACAGTGATTCTATCTCACTTTAATGTCTCTCATTCTCACAATGACCCTATCTCATTTTAACATCTCACATTATCACAGTGATCCTATCTCATCTTAACGTCTCTCATTCTCACAGTGATCCTATCTCATCTTAACGTCTCTCATTGATCCTATCTCATCTTAATGTCTCACATTCTCACAATGACCCTATTTCATTTTAACATCTCACATTCTCACAGTGATCCTATCTCATCTTAATGTCTCACATTCTCACAATGACCCTATTTCATTTTAACGTCTCACATTCTCACAGTGATCCTATCTCATCTTAATGTCTCACATTCTCACAGTGATCCTATCTCATTTTAACATCTCACATTCTCACAGTGATTCTATCTCACTTTAACGTCTCTCATTCTCACAGTGATCCTATCTCATCTTAACGTCTCACATTCTCACAGTGATCCTATCTCACTTTAACGTCTCACATTCTCACAGTGATCCTATCTCATCTTAACGTCTCACATTCTCACAGTGATCCTATCTCATCTTAACGTCTCACATTCTCACAGTGATCCTATCTCATCTTAACGTCTCACATTCTCACAGTGATCCTATCTCATTTTAACATCTCACATTCTCACAGTGATTCTATCTCACTTTAACATCTCTCATTCTCACAATGACCCTATCTCATTTTAACATCTCACATTCTCACAGTGATCCTATCTCATCTTAACGTCTCTCATTCTCACAGTGATCCTATCTCATCTTAACGTCTCTCATTGATCCTATCTCATCTTAATGTCTCACATTCTCACAATGACCCTATCTCATTTTAACATCTCACATTCTCACAATGACCCTATCTCATTTTAACGTCTCACATTCTCACAGTGATCCTATCTCACTTTAACATCTCTCATTCTCACGGTGATCCTATCTCATCTTAACGTCTCACATTCTCACAGTGATCCTATCTCATTTTAACATCTCACATTCTCACAGTGATTCTATCTCACTTTAACGTCTCTCATTCTCACAGTGACCCTATCTCATTTTAACATCTCACATTCTCACAATGACCCTATCTCATTTTATTATCTCACATTCTCACAGTGATCCTATCTCATCTTAACGTCTCACATTCTCACAGTGATCCTATCTCATTTTAACATCTCACATTCTCACAGTGATTCTATCTCACTTTAACATCTCTCATTCTCACAATGACCCTATCTCATTTTAACATCTCACATTCTCACAGTGATCCTATCTCATCTTAACGTCTCTCATTCTCACAGTGATCCTATCTCATCTTAACGTCTCTCATTGATCCTATCTCATCTTAATGTCTCACATTCTCACAATGACCCTATCTCATTTTAACATCTCACATTCTCACAATGACCCTATCTCATTTTAACGTCTCACATTCTCACAGTGATCCTATCTCACTTTAACATCTCTCATTCTCACGGTGATCCTATCTCATCTTAACGTCTCACATTCTCACAGTGATCCTATCTCATTTTAACATCTCACATTCTCACAGTGATTCTATCTCACTTTAACGTCTCTCATTCTCACAGTGACCCTATCTCATTTTAACATCTCACATTCTCACAATGACCTTATCTCATTTTATTATCACACATTCTCACAGTGATCCTATCTTATCTTAATGTCTCACATTCTCACAATGACCCTATCTCATTTTAACATCTCACATTCTCACAATGACCCTATCTCATTTTAACGTCTCACATTCTCACAGTGATCCTATCTTATCTTAACGTCTCACATTCTCACAGTGATCCTATCTCATCTTAATGTCTCACATTCTCACAGTGATCCTATCTCATTTTAACATCTCACATTCTCACAGTGATTCTATCTCACTTTAACGTCTCTCATTCTCACAGTGATCCTATCTCATCTTAACGTCTCACATTCTCACAGTGATCCTATCTCACTTTAACGTCTCACATTCTCACAATGATCCTATCTCATCTTAACGTCTCACATTCTCACAGTGATCCTATCTTATCTTAACGTCTCAAATTCTCACAGTGATCCTATCTCATTTTAACATCTAACATTCTCAAAGTGATTCTATCTCACTTTAACATCTCTCATTCTCACAATGACCCTATCTCATTTTAACATCTCACATTCTCACAGTGATCCTATCTCATCTTAACGTCTCTCATTCTCACAGTGATCCTATCTCATCTTAACGTCTCTCATTGATCCTATCTCATCTTAATGTCTCACATTCTCACAGTGATTCTATCTCATCTTAACATCTCACATTCTCACAATGACCCTATCTCATTTTAACGTCTCACATTCTCACAGTGATCCTATCTCACTTTAACGTCTCTCATTCTCACGGTGATCCTATCTCATCTTAATGTCTCACATTCTCACAGTGATCCTATATCATTTTAACGTCTCACATTCTCACAGTGATCCTATCTCATCTTAACGTCTCTCATTCTCACAGTGATCCTATCTCATCTTAACGTCTCTCATTGATCCTATCTCATCTTAATGTCTCACATTCTCACAATGATCCTATCTCATCTTAATGTCTCACATTCTCACAGTGATCCTATCTCATCTTAATGTCTCACATCCTCACAGTGATCCTATCTCATCTTAACGTCTCACATTCTCACAATGATCCTATCTCATCTAAACGTCTCACATTCAAACAGTGATCCTATCTCATCTTAACGTCTCACATTCTCACAGTGATCCTATCACCTTGTCTAAAGCTATTTTGACTCCATGTTATCAACTTATGGACAATGCAAATCTTATAATTGTTTTTATACAGCATCATAAAAATGTCAATGTTTACCCTGTATAATTTAGGTACATAACCATATTTTTCTTGGAAGTTCATGCCTCCTTCATATGGGGAACATTGTTTTTGTTTTCCTCAGTTACATTGCTAAAGAACACCGACTTCAGAGTAAGTTGTATCAGGAATTTGTGGAAGAAAAGGAGAAACTTTTCCAGAAAGAAGACCTATCCTCAGGAAGCGCTGCTCCTCATTTGGGTTCAGGTACTTTCATGTTTTTATGTACGCTGAAAGAAGTATGCATAAATTCATATAACCCCAAGGGGAAAACCTTCTCATCACAATTCAGGGCTTGTTACAGGACAATGAAATGGCATTGGTTTCTTATTAATTTTATTGAATGGAAGTACACCTTTGTAGGTTTATTGTCAGGCAAGGACTTATCATAGAGCATGGCCTTATTGTCAAGCATGGACTTATTGTCAGACACAGATTTATTACCCGACTTGGACTTATTGTCAGACACAGATTTATTACCAGACATGGATTTATTTTCAGACATGGGCTTATTACCAGACATGGATTTATTTTCAGACATGGGCTTATTGCCAGACATGGGCTTATTTTCAGACATGGGCTTATTACCAGACATGGATTTATTTTCTGACATGGGCTTATTACCAGACATGGGCTTATTTTCATACATGGGCTTATTACCAGACTTGGGCTTATTACCAGACATGGAATTACTTTCAGACATGGGCTTATTACCAGTTGTGGACTTATTTTCAGACATGGGCTTATCACCAGACATGGATTTATTTTCAGACATGGGCTTATTACCAGACATGGGCTTATTTTCAGACATGGGCTTATTACCAGACTTGGGCTTATTACCAGACATGGAATTCAGACATGGGCTTATTACCAGTTGTGGACTTATTTTCAGACATGGGCTTATTACCAGACATGGATTTTTACCAGACATGGAATTACTTTCATTAAGTACTGTAATGTTTATGTCTCTGTTCAATGTTGATAATTATCACAAAGATATTTATAAAATGGTATAGATGGTCCTTTATGTAGTCCTATTGTGCTGAGTTGTTTCAGTTGTCAATTTTGATATTGGGAAAAATGGGTATTTATATTTATTAAAACAAAGTTTAAAAGATATTTAAAGTTGAAATTCCTTTTTTTTCCCCTACAAAAATGTTAAAATTTTTTAGGAATGTCCATGTCAGGAGATATAACTCATGGTAACATGAATGAGACAGAAGTTACCCTGAACATATCTGTTGATTCTGATGTCAACAATCCAGAAAATGCAGGGGAGAAGAGTGAGACTACTATCATTCGAAGTTGTGAAGACTTGCTGGCAGTGAATGAAGTCAAAGAAGGAGTGAAAAAAACAGTCCGGTTCAAAAATAGAAGGAAAGTGATGAAAGACAGCAGGTCAAATCTTGGTGAGTTGGATAAAATTTCACACCTGTACATCAAATAGAGTAGGATTTTTGATGTTTTGTATAAGTCAATATAATAATACTTAACTATACTAAATATAAGATCTTTGCAATCCTTAAATAAAATTTTCGTGGATGATGCTTGTTACTCTTTCAAGTGATTCTTTTCAAATTTGTTGAAAATGTGGAACAGGTGATAAGAGAGCAGTGAGTAACAGGCTAGTGTTTGACATTTTATTGCTAAAATTATTTGCTCATTCTGCAGAAAGTACACTGACAAGTCGTCATCTGAAGCGAATGTCTATGATACTTGAAGCTGTGGAGAAGGACAAGGTGCTAGAAAAAACATATACATTCATCAAGGTTAGTTTGTAAATACCTGGTATTGAATGGACAGATTTCCTTATATGGACATACCTAGTATTGGATGTACAAATTTCCTTATATAGACATACCTGGTATTGAATGGACAGATTTCCTTATATAGACATACCTAGTATTGGATGGACAGATTTCCTTATATAGACATACTTAGTATTGGTTGGACAGATTTCCTTATATAGACATAACTGGTATTGGATGGACAGAATTCCCCATAGTTATAGACATGCCTGGTATTGGTTGGTTGGGCAGATTGCCTATAGTTATAGACATGCCTGGTATTGGTTGGTTGGGCAGATTGCCTATAGTTATAGACATGCCTGGTATTGGTTGGTTGGGCAGATTGCCTATAGTTATAGACATGCCTGGTATTGGTTGGTTGGACAGATCCCTATAGTTATAGACATGCCTGGTATTGGTTGGTTGGGCAGATTGCCTATAGTTATAGACATGCCTGGTATTGGTTGGTTGGGCAGATTGCCTATAGTTATAGACATGCCTGGTATTGGTTGGTTGGGCAGATTGCCTATAGTTATAGACATGCCTGGTATTGGTTGGTAGGGCAGATACCCTATAGTTATAGACATGCCTGGTATTGGTTGGTTGGGCAGATTGCCTATAGATATAGACATGCCTGGTATTGGTTGGTTGGGCAGATTGCCTATAGTTATAGACATGCCTGGTATTGGTTGGTTGGACAGATACCCTATAGTTATAGACATGCCTGGTATTGGTTGGTTGGGCAGATTGCCTGTAGTTATAGACATGCCTGGTATTGGTTGGTAGGGCAGATACCCTATAGTTATAGACATGCCTGGTATTGGTTGGTTGGGCAGATTGCCTATAGTTATAGACATGCCTGGTATTGGTTGGTAGGGCAGATTGCCTGTAGTTATAGACATGCCTGGTATTGGTTGGTTGGGCAGATTGCCTATAGTTATAGACATGCCTGGTATTGGTTGGTTGGGCAGATTGCCTATAGTTATAGACATGCCTGGTATTGGTTGGTTGGGCAGATTGCCTATAGTTATAGACATGCCTGGTATTGGTTGGTAGGGCAGATACCCTATAGTTATAGACATGCCTGGTATTGGTTGGTTGGGCAGATTGCCTATAGTTATAGACATGCCTGGTATTGGTTGGTTGGGCAGATTGCCTATAGTTATAGACATGCCTGGTATTGGTTGGTAGGGCAGATACCCTATAGTTATAGACATGCCTGGTATTGGTTGGTTGGGCAGATTGCCTGTAGTTATAGACATGCCTGGTATTGGTTGGTAGGGCAGATTGCCTGTAGTTATAGACATGCCTGGTATTGGTTGGTTGGGCAGATTGCCTATAGTTATAGACATGCCTGGTATTGGTTGGTTGGGCAGATTGCCTATAGTTATAGACATGCCTGGTATTGGTTGGTTGGGCAGATTGCCTATAGTTATAGACATGCCTGGTATTGGTTGGTTGGGCAGATTGCCTATAGTTATAGACATGCCTGGTATTGGTTGGTTGGGCAGATTGCCTATAGATATAGACATGCCTGGTATTGGTTGGTTGGGCAGATTGCCTATAGTTATAGACATGCCTGGTATTGGTTGGTTGGGCAGATTGCCTATAGATATAGACATGCCTGGTATTGGTTGGTTGGGCAGATTGCCTATAGTTATAGACATGCCTGGTATTGGTTGGTTGGGCAGATTGCCTATAGATATAGACATGCCTGGTATTGGTTGGTTGGGCAGATTGCCTATAGTTATAGACATGCCTGGTATTGGTTGGTTGGACAGATTGCCTATAGTTATAGACATGCCTGGTATTGGTTGGTTGGGCAGATTGCCTATAGATATAGACATGCCTGGTATTGGTTGGTTGGGCAGATTGCCTATAGTTATAGACATGCCTGGTATTGGTTGGTTGGGCAGATTGCCTATAGTTATAGACATGCCTGGTATTGGTTGGTTGGGCAGATTGCCTATAGTTATAGACATGCCTGGTATTGGTTGGTTGGGCAGATTGCCTATAGATATAGACATGCCTGGTATTGGTTGGTTGGGCAGATTGCCTATAGTTATAGACATGCCTGGTATTGGTTGGTTGGGCAGATTGCCTATAGTTATAGACATGCCTGGTATTGGTTGGTAGGGCAGATACCCTATAGTTATAGACATGCCTGGTATTGGTTGGTTGGGCAGATTGCCTATAGTTATAGACATGCCTGGTATTGGTTGGTTGGGCAGATTGCCTATAGTTATAGACATGCCTGGTATTGGTTGGTTGGGCAGATACCCTATAGTTATAGACATGCCTGGTATTGGTTGGTTGGGCAGATTGCCTATAGTTATAGACATGCCTGGTATTGGTTGGTTGGGCAGATTGCCTATAGTTATAGACATGCCTGGTATTGGTTGGTTGGGCAGATTGCCTGTAGTTATAGACATGCCTGGTATTGGTTGGTTGGGCAGATTGCCTATAGTTATAGACATGCCTGGTATTGGTTGGTAGGGCAGATACCCTATAGTTATAGACATGCCTGGTATTGGTTGGTTGGGCAGATTGCCTATAGTTATAGACATGCCTGGTATTGGTTGGTTGGGCAGATTGCCTATAGTTATAGACATGCCTGGTATTGGTTGGTTGGGCAGATACCCTATAGTTATAGACATGCCTGGTATTGGTTGGTTGGGCAGATTGCCTATAGTTATAGACATGCCTGGTATTGGTTGGTTGGGCAGATTGCCTATAGTTATAGACATGCCTGGTATTGGTTGGTTGGGCAGATTGCCTGTAGTTATAGACATGCCTGGTATTGGTTGGTTGGGCAGATTGCCTATAGTTATAGACATGCCTGGTATTGGTTGGTAGGGCAGATACCCTATAGTTATAGACATGCCTGGTAAAAAAATTGGATGGACATGTTTCCCCATAGCTTTAGACATAACTGGTATTGCAAAACCAGGTTGAAAGATTTATCTCAAGGAGCCCGAGCTCAAGTAAGACATGTATATTTACCCCAGCATAACAGAAGAAAGCATATTATGAGGAAAGTGCTACAAGAAGTACCTCAAGCAAAGGCCATTGCAGTCTGAATTTTATGAACCTTCTGGTATGAGCACTCCAGATGACCTGGCAAATGATGCAGATGATGCTTACACTGATTTCATGTCATCCAATGATGTGTCATATGTTGAAAAGAGGGCACTGGGCTATGCACTATACCCCAGCGTGCCAGGACAAACTTGATGTTTTTCCATTTTGTATGGTATCCCCCTGATGCTCATGTTTGCAATGACAATGTAATTTGTGACATTCTGAATCCTTCTTTGCCACTAGATCTGCAAACAAGGGAACCGTTTGCTCTTCATCTTCTAGAAAGAGCTAATCAGGTTATCAATAACCTTTTTGAATTAAGCCATTTCCTTTCTGCTGGTACTCCAACCAACACATCAATAGAGGATTATGTTCTTCTACATTCCATGCTTTTTTTCTTTTCCAATATTTCATGGTCTCAACTTGGTGTCTTGTGTGGTCTGACAAAACACAGTCAGTGTTTCACACATTTCATAGTGTCTTAAAAGCCTTGAGCCAGACCATTGTGTCCTGTTTCCTTGGTCCAAGACACATTACCTGCGAAGAAGCTAAGTGCCACAACACTGCCTTTACAAGATGTTTCTATGTGGACAAAGTAACTGTAATCCTTAATGGTACCTATATTTATGTCCAAAAAAGTGCTGATCACCCCCTTCAAAGATCCTCATTCTGTGGGCAAAAGAAGTGCAACTATGTTAAATTCATGAGCATTGTCTTTCCAGATGGTTATGTACTAGACACTATTGAGCCTTTTTATGGCAATGAAAATGATGCAAATATCTTGACAAAAATTCTTGGAACAGTTGAGAATATGAACTTGTGGCTCCGTGAAGATGACAATGTGATTGTTGACCGGGGGTTTAGGGATGTGTTGGAGCTGCTGCGAGGTTCAGGGTTTTCTGTGTACATGCCTTCCTATCTTCTGTCAGGGCAGACAGAGCATCATACACTTACTGCCAACGAGGACTGCCAGTGTACTAACTCAAGATGGGTTGTGAAGAGCTACCATGGTCGGCTGAAACAGTGGAAACTGTTCAGAGAACAACTCAGCTCAAACTACTTCCTTTGTGTCATAGAGGAACTGGTCAAAGTAGCTACTGCTTCCTTGAATGCTGTACGTGGACCAATTTATGTGTCCACACCAGAGAGGGACTCGAGGGACCGTTGCCTTGCTGAGCGAATGCAATCCCGTTTGGCTCTGCCCAACACCTTGGCCTGAAGGGTTGCAGATGAACCTGGCCTTTCTATGTGCACAAAGGCCAACTGGGTGAAACTTGATGCCTGTTCAATAGAGTTTCCAGTACTGAATATGGATTATTTAGAAACAGTAACCCTGTGGATCATACCAGTTGAAAGTAGCACCCAGATATATTGCTGAGCATCTAACTCTTGCTGGAGACTTTGAAGTTTGGGTCTATCAGCATGATGAAAATCTTCTCTGAGGCCAAATCCATTCAAGGCACAAACCACAGTCAAAATACAATGTTTGAATTGCATTTGACAGAAATGATCATGATGACCCTGTCAAAGATTACTACTGTGTCTGTCCAGTGGGCAAGTGAACGGTTGGAATGTGTGCACATGTTGCACGCATTTTGTATTTCTTGGGCCATGTTCAGCATCAAGATCAAACTAACCCAGTCCATGCAAAACTGACGTTCAAATAGGCAATCACTTGAGCAGTTCTGCTATACTAAAACACAATGTAATGTCCTGCAAACTGCAACTGTTCTATCTCTTATTAGCTTCTCAAAGTGCCACAAATTACGGATTGGAAATGACAAAGGCCAAACTCGTCTCTATTACTGCACATAATCTATCTAATAAGGTCTTTTTATTGATCTTCATCAAAAGATTTGTATAAAGCTGCTAACTAAATCTTCAAATTGTGAAATTTGCACAAAAATGTCTTTATTTGAATAAATTTCATTTGTGTGACCTTGAACAGAGGTCAAGTTCAGCAATGTTAACCAAACTGATACAAATTGACATGAACAACTACCGTAAATATTCGCGTATAGTGCACACTTTTTTAAGCTGAAACTGTCGTGTCAAAAAGGGAGTGCGCACTATACGCAGGTACATGCCATTCCTGGGGTTATCATTCCCGAGTTCTGCATCCGCCATATTGGATTACCTCCTTTCACATAGTTATATGTAAAAGTCGTCGGTCTTATATGATAGTTTTGAGATAAAAACAACAAAAAAATAAAATAAATTTCGAATGTTTTAATCATCTGCCATTCACGCTAGCATTACGGTTTTCCGTCGGTCCTGCTATTGGTCGGGGCTACAGTAGTGTCTGAATTTCTGCCTCATTTTGATGATGTATCTGTGGAATTCAATGAATCCGGAAGTTTTTAGGCGATTGTCGTTCTGTTCATAAATCGCACAGCCCATCCCACCGATGCCCAAAGTTGGTGACCCCATGACCTCTCTTGATCTGCATGGCCCGCACGCGCAGTTCTGTTGTACTGGCAGCGATGCCGGGATATCGGCAATCGCATACAAAGTTGAACAGCTCTCTCTCTCCATCTCTGGGTGTTTCGCTGTCGCACCTATGTCAGCCCTTCTGGTCAGTGGTTGGGACTTTAGACGGTCTTTTCTTTTTTTCTGTGCCTTGATATTTCACTCTGGAATGTCGAAGTGGCGACCGGCGGCACGAAACTCCAGTCTCTCGGCGTAGTCAAATGGCGTTCGCAGTTTCCCCATGTCGAAGTCGGTGTAAACAATCTATCATTAAATACCTTCGGATACCGCGGTGGGTACAGATACCATGAAAGATCATGTCTATACTGGACAAACCACCTGCTTTTATGGGGACAAGGTAGGATTGAAAATGTTCAGACAGTTAAAACAACATCGTTTTCTGACCAAAAGTACGCGTTCAGCCCAAGCCGGGTGTCATCAGTCTCCTCATACTCAACGTGTTAACTGTCATTAACCGTTGATTATACAATCAGCCAAGCCTTTCATGCTTGTTAGGTCACCTAGGTAAATTTGTTTACTTAAGGTAATTACATGTGTTTGGGTCACGCTCATTGTGGTTTCCTAATTATCAATGGATCAGACCACATCAAATGTTTCGTCGCAGTGACCAGTCAATTAATTTTTCTGTAGATTTCTTTTTTTTAATCTGATCTCCAAAAAGTACCTGCGCACTATACGCGAGTGCGCACTATACGCGAATATTTACGGTACCTTGTCAAATAGCAAGACCTACAGACTTTTGGTTATTAAGCTATCACTATTTAATGAAAATTTTTTTTTAAGCAAATGTGTAAAATGACAAATTTACCGGTTTTCATTTTTTCCAAAAAATCCTCGTTTTGAAAGATATCATCTGTGGCCAACTTTTAAGCAAGTATGAAAAATAGACTGGTTTCGGAAGTATGAAAATTTAAGTGCCCAAAACAGTACTTTTCTCAAAAGTAATGGCTTTTTATATGATTTTTGGCTGCATTTTTCAACATAAAAGAAATGTTTCTTCTGAAATAGTGTGATATGTGGTACCAAAATGTTGGTCGGTACAATGTGCGCACATTAATGACATAATTTCATAGGAACTGCCTAATAATAATGCACTAGAAGGAATTACATTATAACTACATTAACACCCACCAAGGTGTTAGTTAAGGAGCTCTCATTTGATAAGAAATCAGTTCTGAGACTAACTTTTCCGTATTTAAGCTTCTGATACCCATATCTGTTTATGGTTACCATATTTAGAAATTCCAAGTGGGGGCCGATGATAACGTAAATTCCCATATTTGTTGACCCCACCTTTGATATTCATTGTTATAGTTTATAGAACATCTATCCCAGCTATAGCAGGCACCAGTTTACCCATTTGGTGTCATAACTGAAATATATAATTTCATCCTTGTCTTTTTTCTTATATTAAAGAAAATAAGATCCAATGAGGAAAACTTGTTATACTCCATCCAATGATTAGTCTTCAATTATTTATTTCACACTTTAAGGTAATATGCTGTTTGAGTTTATTATTTTTGAAAATGTTATTTATATTCTTTAAAATTTGCATATTTACTCAGATGATTCGAGAACGGGAAAAAAGTGAAGGCCTCGATTACATTATTGACAAGAAGACTTTTGACAAACTTGCAATTTTGTTGGTGAAAGAAAAGAAAATTAGAATCTTCAAAACTACAATCCCAGGCGGCAATAATGAACAGCCAAAGGAGGTAAGTAAAACACCAGTGAACACATACCATTGTACACTATTTTTTTTTTTTTTTTTTTCAAACATTTTATTGACTAAGACGAGACATACATAAGGTTACAAATGTGTCTTCATTTGTGCAGTTTTCTCAGTAATCTTTTGTCCTAAATCCCTCTCCAGATCTTTCCTCATAGATTCCACTATAGAGCTCACTATTTTCTCAATGTCCTTGGATTTCGCTAATCCTGCAGATAAAGCTGTCAAATCTGCTTTCTTCACCACATTCTCCAACTGCTCCTTTATCTTTGAGATATCCTGTCTGATATCTTCATCAACTGCAACATTAGTCGATATACTCTGTCTAGTTGAAGGGCCCCCTGCTGTTCTGCTAGTCTTAGTGTGAGTAGACATAGCTCAGGTATGTACAGGTAAGCACACTAGGTGTCAAAGTAGGGAAGTAAGAATGTAGCCCAGGTAGGTAAAACCAGGAACACAGGTGACTACAGGTGAGCACAGTTCACTGACACTAATGTTCACAAAAAAAAAAAAAAAAAAAAATTACTTTCCTTCAAAATGTTCAAATTCCAAAGTTCATTTCAAAAAACAAATCAACCAAGGTGCTTAGAAAACACTTATACACATGTCTGACAAATTTGGACTCAAAACTCCTCAAAAAATAGCAATAAATCCACCAAAATTATCAGAGCAGCCTGAGTGTGTGTTGCCTACTCAGCGGCCATTGTCCTCCTCCATTGTACACTAGTGAACACCCTGTACACCACCAAACACAAGTGAACACCTGTACACCACTGAAATCTATTGAACACCTTGAACCTCAGTGAACAGTTGTTAATTTGTACTCCATTAAACACTAGTGAACACCTTCTACACTGCTGAACAAGTGAACATCTTGTACTCCACTGAACACCGGTGAACACCTCATACATCACTTAACAGTTATAAACTTGTATTCCACTGAACACTAGTGAACACCTCGTACATCAGTGAACACCTCATACATCACTGAAATCTAATGAACACCTCATACATCAGTGAACACTAGGGAACACCTCGTACATCAGGGAACACATCATACATCACTGAAATCTAATGAACACCTCATACATCAGTGAACAGTTGTTAATTTGTACTCCACTGAACACTAGTGAACACCTCGTACATCAGTGAACACTAGGGAACACATCATACATCACTGAAATCTAATGAACACCTCGTACATCAGTGAACAGTTGTTAATTTGTACTCCACTGAACACCAGTGAACACCTCATACATCACTGAACTCTGGTGAACACCTCGTACATCAGTGAACACTAGGGAACACATCATACATCACTGAAATCTAATGAACACCTCATACATCAGTGAACAGTTGTTAACTTGTACTCCACTGAACACCAGTGAACAACTTATACATCACTGAACAGTTATAAACTTGTACTCCACTGAACACTAGTGAACACCTCGTACATCAGTGAACACTAGTGAACACCTCATACATCACTGAAATCTAATGAACACCTCGTACATCAGCGAACAGTTGTTAACTTGTACTCCACTGAACACCAGTGAACAACTCATACATCAGTGAACAGTTGTTAACTTGTACTCCACTGAACACTAGTGAACAACTCATACACTGCTGAACAACAGTGAACACATTGTACACATCTGAAAAGCAGTGAACACCTTGTGCATTGCTGAACACCTAAAAAAAATCAATAAATGCTTATGAATACATTGTATACTACTAAACTGTAGTGAACTCTAGTGAACATCTTGTGTGTCACTGAACATCTTGTATACTGCTGAAGTGTAATGTACACCTTTTACGCCTTTTAGCACTAGTGAACAGCTTGTTCACAACTGATCTTTAGTGAACACCTTGGATGACTTCTCTTGTTATTATGATACAGGTCCAACTACTATGTGCTAAACACATCCAGCCAACAGATGCATTAATCAAAAGCAAGCTGGAACAACTTCATTTGAGGTCTCGGTGTGTACCGAAGGAACATCTGCTTAAAAGTGCAAAGAAAAGTCCTGTAAAACAACAGGTATGTTCGTACATAGAAATGGACAGGTCTGTTTTGGAGGATAATATTTTTAACGTCATGAGAAATCCATTTCTTATTGATATTTCCTCACAGAAATCTATCACCTCTAGGACGTTGTTACAGAAATTTTGAGAATATTTTTAATTTAGGAGTAATTTTTTTTTGTTCTGTTCCAAGCTTTTCATGTTTTGATAGTAACTACTAATCAGTTCCAGTTAAAAATGAAGTGTTGTATATAACAGAAAAGTGTTGTACATAACAGTGAAGTGTTGTATATAACAGTGAAGTGTTGTATATAACAGTGAAGTTTAATACATAACAGTGAAGTGTTGTATATAACAGTGAAGTGTTGTATATAACAGTGAAGTGTTGTACATAACAGTGAAGTGTTGTATATAACATTGAAGTGTTGTACATAACAGTGAAGTGTTGTACATAACAGTGAAGTGTTATATGTAACAGTGAAGTGTTGTACATAACAGTGAAGTGTTGTATATAACAGTGAAGTGTTGTATATAACAGTGAAGTTTAATACATAACAGTGAAGTGTTGTATATAACAGTGAAGTGTTGTATATAACAGTGAAGTGTTGTACATAACTGTGAAGTGTTGTATATAACAGTGAAGTGTTACATATAACAGTGAAGTGTAATACATAACATTGAAGTGTTGTATATAACAGTGAAGTGTAATACATAACAGTAAAGTGTTGCAGTGAAGTGTTGTATATAACAGTGAAGTGTTGTATATAACAGTGAAGTGTTGTATATAACTGTGAAGTGTTGTATATAACAGTGAAATTTAATACATAACAGTGAAGTGTTGTATATAACAGTGAAGTGTTGTACATAACTGTGAAGTGTTGTATATAACAGTGAAGTGTTACATATAACAGTGAAGTGTTGTATATAACAGTGAAGTGTTGTATATAACAGTGAAGTGTAATACATAACAGTGAAGTGTTGCAGTGAAGTGTTGTATATAACAGTGAAGTGTTGTATATAACAGTGAAGTGTTGTACATAACAGTGAAGTGTTGTATATAACAGTGAAGTGTAATACATAACAATGAAGTGTTGTTTATAACAGTGAAGTGTAATACATAACAGTGAAGTGTTGTATATAACAGTGAAGTGTTGTACATAACAGTGAAGTGTTGTATATAACAGTGAAGTGTAATACATAACATTGAAGTGTTGCATATAACAGTGAAGTGTAATACATAACAATGAAGTGTTGTATATAACAGTGAAGTGTTGTACATAACTGTGAAGTGTTGTATATAACAGTGAAGTGTTGTATATAACAGTGAGGTGTAATACATAACAGTGAAGTGTTGTATATAACAGTAAAGTGTAATACATAACAGTGAAGTGTTGCAGTGAAGTGTTGTATATAACAGTGAAGTGTTGTATATAACAGTGAAGTGTTGTACATAACAGTAAAATGTTGTATATAACAGTGAAGTGTAATACATAACAGTGAAGTGTTGCATATAACAGTGAAGTGTAATACATAACAATGAAGTGTTGTATATAACAGTGAAGTGTTGTACATAACAGTGAAGTGTTGTATATAACAGTGAAGTGTTGTTTATAACAGTGAAGTGTAATACATAACAGTGAAGTGTTGTATATAACAGTGAAGTGTTGTATATAACAGTGAAGTGTAATAATACATAACAGTGAAGTGTTGCAGTGAAGTGTTGTATATAACAGTGAAGTGTTGTATATAACAGTGAAGTGTTGTACATAACAATGAAGTGTTGTATATAACAGTGAAGTGTTGTATATAACAGTGAAGTGTAATACATAACAGTGAAGTGTTGTATATAACAGTGAAGTGTTGTATATAACAGTGAAGTGTAATACATAACAGTGAAGTGTTGCAGTGAAGTGTTGTATATAACAGTGAAGTGTAATACATAACAGTGAAGTGTTGCAGTGAAGTGTTGTATATAACAGTGAAGTGTTGTATATACCAGTGAAGTGTAATACATAACAGTGAAGTGTTGCAGTGAAGTGTTGTATATAACAGTGAAGTGTTGTATATAACAGTGAAGTGTAATACATAACAGTGAAGTGTTGCAGTGAAGTGTTGTACATAACAGTGAAGTGTTGTATATAACAGTGAAGTGTTGTATATAACTGTGAAGTGTTGTATATAACAGTGAAGTGTTGTATATAACAGTGAAGTGTTGTACATAACTGTGAAGTGTTGTATATAACAGTGAAGTGTTACATATAACAGTGAAGTGTAATACATAACATTGAAGTGTTGTATATAACAGTGAAGTGTAATACATAACAGTGAAGTGTTGCAGTGAAGTGTTGTATATAACAGTGAAGTGTTGTATATAACAGTGAAGTGTAATACATAACATTGAAGTGTTGTATATAACAGTGAAGTGTAATACATAACAGTGAAGTGTTGCAGTGAAGTGTTGTATATAACAGTGAAGTAGAATGATGTCTGTCTAAGCACTACATACAGATTTATTCTTCTTTATTCTGATCTTGGCTGTCTGGTCTGCATGTTCCAGAGAAATTAAATCTAATGTATGTCTTGACGAAACCTCACATTCTTTTTTGCACAATCTTCAAGTTGATGTGCATATCAGACAATTTTCTATGTCAAAATGTCACCATTACTACTTAAAGACATAAAGATCTTGCTGCAGCTTAGATCATGGAGCTGAGCTTGAATTTTGACTGATGTCTTGCAATGTTGACAACCGTTTTGGCAAAAATATCCAGGGCATGTTTGTAAATGTAGATCATCTTCACTATTTTGGACAACTTTGCTTACAGATAATCTGTAACTCAGTAAGATGCTTTAGGAATTTGATGGCACATCACACAATTGTTCCTTGTTCTCCTATGATGTATAGCTTTACTTACTAAAAACTCTTTTGTGTGAATCATGACAGTGACTTGTGGGCAAGAGGGATAAAGCCCAGGAAACAGAAGATATTCTCCTGTAGGAATGATTGGATTTTGACCAAATTTGGTTTGAAGAATTCTTGGATGAAAGGGAATCAATTTTATGAAAACAATGGGGTCTCAAACAAATTTGCAGGGAAATATATAGGAATGATTTCATTCGGTCCCGATTTGGTCTGAAGCATTCTTGGATGATAGGGAAACAACTTTGTATATAGGATTGGTCTCAAGCCCGCGTATATAGGACTGGTCTCAACCCCGTTTGCTTAGGAGGGACGAAGTCTGAAAGGGGATGTAGGATAAATTGTTTAAAATCCAACTCCTCCTGTAGGAATGAATGAATATTGTCCAGAGTTGGTTTGAGATTTCCTTGGGTGGAAGAGAATCAATTTTGTGTAAATGGTTGGTCATGGTCTCCTTGGGCAGGAAGGGTGGGACCAAATAAGGGAAATAGAGGAAATGCTTTAAAAACCTCCTGTAGGAATAATTGGGATATTGTCCAAATTTAGTCTGAGGTATCCTTGGGTTGAGAGGAATCAATTTTGTACTGATGATGATGATGATGATGATGATGATGATGATGATGATGATGATGATGATGATGATTTTTTGAAAAAAAATAAAAAACACAAAAAAAATTGTATAATTGGTAAATCTTGATCTCCTGGGGCAAGAGGGTTAGGGCCAAGGGAAATAGGGAAAATCCTTTAGAAACCTCCTGTAGGAATGATTGGATATTGTCGAAATTTTGTCAAAAGCATTTCTTGGATGAAGTGGATCAATTTTGTATAAATGGTGTGTCTCAACCCTGTGGGCAGGAGAGGAGGGGGTTAATAAGGGAAATGGAGCAAATCATTTAAGAAAACACTCCTTCTGTAGGAATTATTAGATTTGGTTAAATTTGGCCTGAAGCATCCTTTGTTAAAGTTAAATTTTGTATAAATGGAGGGTTTTGGGGCCCCCTAGAGCAGGATTTGTGCGGCCCAATTAGAGAAAGAGAGCAAATTCTTTTAAATCCTTTTTTATGCTAGGGATGCCTGGATTTAGTACAAATTTTGGTCTGAAACATTCTTTGGTGAAAGGTATTTAATTGTGTGTCAATAATAGGTCTCAGACTTTTATGGTGGAATGGATGGTGCCCAATACAGGAAAATAGAGAAACATTTTTAAGAATCCTTCTCCTGCTGTTGAGATTTCGACCAAATTTGGTTTGAAGTATTCATGGGTTAAGGGGAGATAATTTTGTAGAAAAAGGTGGATATTGGCACCCCGGGAGTGGGAGGGATGGGGCCCAATAGGGATAAAAAGAAGAAAATCTTTTCTCTTCCGGAGGAATACCTGGATTCTGTCCCAGTTTAGTCTGAGATATACTTTGGTGAAGGGGATAATTTTGTGTAAACTGTGGGTCTTAATCCCCCTGTGGAAGGGTCCAATAGGTGAAATAGAGCAAATTCTTTAAAATCCTTCCTCTATTGGAATAATTGATTTTTCCCGAATTTGATCTAAACCATCCTTTAGAGAAAAGAACTTTTTTGTGAACTGTGCATTTTACCTGTCTTGGAGTAGAGGAACAGAGCCTTCAAAGGTAAATAGGTACAGGTCTTTTAAATTCTTTTCCCTTTAGCTTTAATGAAACAATTTCAGAAACTAAACCAGGTGAGCAATGCAAACCCAATGTGCCTCTACTCTTTCCATGTTGACAGACATTGAGAGAATTCTTGATTGTTTTCTTTCAATGTTGACAGAAATAGACAGACTGATAGACTGTTCCTTTCCATGTTGACAGAAATAGACAGACTGATAGACTGTTCCTTTCCATGTTGACAGAAATAGACAGACTGATAGACTGTTCCTTTCCATGTTGACAGAAATAGACAGACTGATAGACTGTTCCTTTCCATGTTGACAGAAATAGACAGACTGATAGACTGTTTCTTTCCATGTTGACAGAAATAGACAGACTGATAGACTGTTTCTTTCCATGTTGACAGAAATAGACAGACTGATAGACTGTTCCTTTCCATGTTGACAGAAATAGACAGACTGATAGACTGTTCCTTTCCTTGTATGTTTTCATTTCTTGGTGACAGACATTGATCTGTTTATCAACTTCTTTCCTCAGTAACAGACATTATCAGCCGTATTGATAGTTCTCTTTCTTTGTTGACAGAAGTTCACGGACTTGCCTGAGAGTACCCAAGAGAACCTACGGAAGCTTCAGGAGTACAAAATGAAGATAAAATCTTTTGACATGGTGTATGATCCCGTATGTAGAGACAGCTGTACAGAAGATAAAATTTCTTTCAATTCAGAAAAATTTTTATAAAAGTTGGCTTTCTTGTTTATATTAATGATGATACCAGTTAGACTGAATAACATGTGTGATAGTACATTAATATAGTGTATTCTGTTGTAGATTGCACCAAAGCAGTATGGTTACCTACCTAAGATGAGAAGGATTCGTATGACTCACAACATTCTGTGGTACCTTTGTTATGACTACAGAGGACGTGTGATCCCAGAACACCCTTCAGTTGATCGGTCAGGAACCAACACCGCTGAATCTGAGGCTGGGAGGGGATGGTCTGATGCCCTCAGTACCTCTCATTCAACTGAATTATCAAGTAGTGACTTCAACCGAAAGTCAGGAAAAAAAGGGACAGAAGCGTTTGGAAAATCTAATGATGTAAACAAACGTTATTTAGAATTCTTTCATTTTTGAGTGAAGTAGAATGATTTCTATAAATGTTTTACTATAAGCAGGACTCTTTTTATCTTAAGAATCACTCACCGTTCTGGTTGAGACTTCTCTTCTGCAACGGGTAAACAATTACATCAATTTCACATGTGGTGGAAACAGTTTGTAAAATGTAAAATGAAAAGTATTGAAAATAGTCCCAGTTTCCTATTTGATAAAAGGGGTCAAAGTTGGTAGCATCTTGTTCCATAGACTGATTGTAGCTATGATTTACGTAAACATGAAAAAAAGGTGAATAAAATCATTGTTAAAACATAATAAAACTGAAATTTCTTGTCTTATTAGGCAGATATTTTAGAACAAATAAGGAATTTGAAGGAGCCACCTTTGTACTGTGATGAGATGACCTGGAGGCGCTACCTTCCACCACTACCAAAACACAAAGGTATGATTTATACAGGGTGTTATCTCCCCTTACTCCTAAAACACAAAGGTATGGTTTATACAGGGTGTTATCTCCCCCTACTCCTAAAACACAAAGGTATGATTTATACAGGGTGTTATCTCCCCCTACTCCTAAAACACAAAGGTATGGTTTATACAGGGTGTTATCTCTCCCTACTCCTAAAACACAAAGGTATGATTTATACAGGGTGTTATCTCCCCTTACTCCTAAAACACAAAGGTATGATTTATACAGGGTGTTATCTCCCCTTACTCCTAAAACACAAATGTATGATTTATACAGGGTGTTATCTCTCCCTACTCCTAAAACACAAAGGTATGATTTATACAGGGTGTTATCAACCCTTACTCCTAAAACACAAAGGTATGATTTATACAGGGTGTTATCTCCCCTTGCTCCTAAAACACAAATGTATGATTTATACAGGGTGTTATCAACCCTTACTCCTAAAACACAAAGGTATGATTTATACAGGGTGTTATCTCCCCTTGCTCCTAAAACACAAATGTATGATTTATACAGGGTGTTATCTATCCTTACTCCTAAAACACAAAGGTATGGTTTATATAGGGTGTTATCTCCCCCTACTCCTAAAACACAAATGTATGATTTATACAGAAAGTTTTTGTTTTATTTAGAATAACAAGAAATTGATGTAAAGATTATTTACAAGTTACAGTTTAAGCTAGATTATACCCAATGCAGGACTGAAAATATGTGATATTACATAATACAAGACATCAAAGAGTACTCAGCACAATGCAGTGAATTTAATGGTTCTTTTCATTGATGAATTTTCAGATCATCCGAACGGCTGGTGTCTTATCTCGGATGTTCTTGTCACTCTGCCTGTTTGTCTCTTCTGTTCCATTGTACCGGTCAACTATAATGTAAGTACTGGTCAGCAATGATGTTAGTAGTGGTCAGCAATGATTTTAGTAGTGGTCAGCAATGATGTAAGTACTGGTCAACTATAATGTAAGTACCGGTCAACTATAATGTAAGTACTGGTCAGCAATGATGTTAGTAGTGGTCAGCAATGATGTAAGTACTGGTCAACTATAATGTAAGAACTGGTCAGCAATGATGTTAGTAGTGGTCAGCAATGATGTAAGTACTGGCCAGCAATGATGTAAGTACTGGTCAACTATACTGTAAGTACTGGTCAGCAATGATGTAAGTACTGGTCAGCAATGATGTTAGTAGTGGTCAGCAATAATGTAAGTACTGGTCAACTATAATGTAAGTATTGGTCAGCTATAATGTAAGAACTGGTCAGCAATGATGTAAGTACTGGTCAGCAATGATGTAAGTACTGGTCAGCGATGATGTACGTACTGGTCAACTATACTGTAAGAACTGGTCAGCAATAATGTAAGTACTGGTCAACTTTAATGTAAGAACTGGTCAGCAATGATGTAAGTACTGGTCATTAATGATGTAAGTACTGGTCAGCGATGATGTACGTACTGGTCAACTATAATGTAAGTACTAGTCAGCAATGATGTAAGTACTGGTCAGCTATAATGTAAGAACTGGTCAGCAATGATGTAAGTACTGGTCAGCAATGATGTAAGTACTGGACAACTGTAATGTAAGAACTGGTCAGCAATGATGTAAGTACTAGTCAGCAATGATGTAAATACTGGTCAGCAATGATGTAAGTACTGGTCAGCAATGATGTAAATACTGGTCAGCAATGATGTAAGTACTGGTCAGCAATGATGTAAGTACTGGTCAAATGATGTAAGTACTAGTCAGCAATAATGTAAGTACTGGTCATTAATGATGTAAGTACTGGTCAGCGATGATGTAAGTACTGGTCAGCAGTGATGTAAGTACTAGTCAGCAATGATGTAAGTACTGGTCAGAAATGATGTAAGTACTGGTCAACTATAATAATGTAAGAACTGGTCAGCAATGATGTAAGTATTGGTCATTAATGATGTAAGTACTGGTCAACAGTAATGTAAGAACTGGTCAGCAATGATGTAAGTACTGGTCAGCAATGATGTAAATACTGGTCCACAATGATGTGAGTACTGGTCAGCAATGATGTAAGTACTGGTCAGCAATAAAGTTCAAAAGTCATCTCCCCAGTGCCATAATACATGTAAGTACAAAGTTGGAGTTTTCACATTAATAAATGTTCACACTACAATATCAAGTAGATCTAATCAAGTGCTGAAGTAATATTTCTCAAAACTTGGCATGCTACATCCCTATGATATATGGTAGTGCCCTTTCACTTATTTGTGAAATTTTGACATTTTTTAGAGTTAGCCCCTTTGTGTAAATATTTGTTTGGAATATTGTGTCAAGTGTATCAAATAAAGTACTGAAGCAATATTTCTCAAAACTTGGCATGCTACATCCCTATGATATACATTTGTGCCCTTTCACTTTTTATTTAAACTTGATCAAATGCTACAGCTAATTATAGCCTATAATTTGACATATTAGATGTTCTTAAACCGTTACTATGGAAACACTTTGAGGCTTATGATTGGTCAAAATTAAGATATTGTCTGATGAAGTTGAAAATAAGTATGAACAGGTTTAGGTTGGTTACAAATACTAGCTACTTTTTTTAAAAGAGTGTTTATATTTTGTTGCCATGGTGACAAAATGAAAATTTCTTGAAGGAATCTTGTTGGGACAACCCCTCTACAACTGTTGCTGATTGGGGAGTGGGGTGTATTAGTTGGTCATCCTGGCGACAGTTCTAGTTTACATTACATTCATTTAAAATGGTTTTCAGCTGCAAGGCCTGAAGGAGATCCTAGATGACCCAGTAAAGTCTCTGTACCCGATAGTTTACCTCCCTTACCGACTCACACAGCAGTTACTTTACGCCCGCAAGTACATCTTTTCCTTCCATGAGAGCTGTGAAAGGATGGCCTATATGGGGCTGCTTGCATTTGGAACCCGACTTTTAAAGGAGAAGGACCAGGTAAGGAATTATGTAAATTTACCAGAATATTTCTTCATATTGATGGGTTCTATTTCCATTGTTTTTGATTATTGAAAAAGGTCACTCTGACCCACATTTTGACCTTTAGCTTATACCAAAGAAAAAAGGTTGTCTTGGTTTCTTAATCTTCCACTACATGTCACTGGAACTTTATACTTAAGTCGTGGATCAACCTTAAATGGATGGTATGCCATGTACCAGAAAAAGCACTCTGTGACCTTCATTTTGAACTTGACAAACATCAAAGGAAAAGTTTGTCCTGGTGTCATTTCCCACACTATTATTTGCCATCAGAATTTCATACTTTGGAAACGGTGATGTGTCATATACCAGATATGTGTTTCTCTGACTAACATTTTGATTAAGATTAGAGATATTGCCTCTGTAAAATGGTGGTATGACTTCATGATCTGTTGATATTGTCTACTAAAACTTGTGATATTTCTGAACTCATTCGCATTGGAACTAGCAAGTACAATTAAAGAAAACTGGATGCAGTGTTTAATGTACATATTACACATGTTACTGGTATACATTCAGGAGGTTTATTTACAGTTGTAACAACAACACTATTCCCTATTAAGTAAAATAAAAAAAAATCAGTGTTTAGAATCTGTCATCTGTGCATTCTGAGTGGATAAACTCACATTCAGTGGGAGACTGTAATTTGCTGAATTGTCTTAAGAATTCCTGAATTGTATTAATAATTCTTTTCTAAAATTGTTTTTGGGAGACTGTAATTTGCTGAATAGTCTTCAGAATTCCTTTCCAAAATCGTACATGGAATAAATGTCCAAGGATAACCTAATTGGTTAAATTTCTTCAATCATGTACTTTGAAATTTCTTTTACCTTCAAAAAGATAGAAATGATATGATTTTATGTTGTAGTTAAGAAAAACTACATCTTTCACTACATGATTACACCATTTTTTCTTTTTAAAAGGTTGATAAGTGTGTTTTAATCTTTCAGGTCTTTGTTTACCTATACAAGCATGTCTGTCTGATGGACACTACACACTCCCTGGAAGGCTACTGTAAGATTACGATGCCACCAGGAATAGAGTGTGATAAACGTATATATGATCTCTCCAGCCAACTGAAGTTTGACCATTACTGGACAGAGCTACAGGAAATATGCTTTGCTAGCCACCTCAATGTCCGGAGTAAGTAAATACAGTAAATAAAGTATTATGGGATACATTGTTTACTTTGTTTGTTGGGTTTATCACCCCATAAACAGCCAGAGTCATTTTGAGGCAAGGTCTCCTTGTAATAGCCGGTGACTTCCTCACTGAACAACATACAGAAGGCCTCACATGCTGTTTAGAGAAATGGAGTTAAAGTGTCTTGACAAATGACACAATCACGTCAGCTGAGACTGGGTGGTTTCTCATCTTCCTGAAACAAACACAAACCTCCATGGGTAAGGAGTGTTGAACCATGCACATTGTATCTGCACCAGAGGCTGCATGGCTTACGCTCTTACCAACTTAGATATCTCGGCCCCTTCTTCCTAGGGAGATACAGAACTTTTATACTGATAGTCCACATATATTAAAATAAAAAAACTTGAAAAATGTTAAAATGATTTATATTTTCTCATAGATATTTCCAGATTCCAGGTATTTTAACATCATATGTACTACCAATAAGTAGTTAAAAGCACCAAACATAAGTCAGTCCACATGATAAAAATACTGGACATTGTAAACATTATGTACAATGCTGTTGGTTCTTAAATACAGTTAAAGAAATAATCCAGTGGACACGTTGAAAATACTGGACAGTGTAAACATTGCTTACGATGCTGTTATTGTTACTTTGATAGAGTTAACTTTTATTTGTTATAGAGATGAAGAACAAAGAAAAGGAGTTGCGTGAGGATCCACCAGTAGAGATGTCCTTAACTGATGCCCTTAAACCAGTCAGTCCTGACGAGCTTGTAGATGACTCAGATCACTGTCGTCTCCCTGGTGACCAGCTCGGGGCAGCTGGCATTGATTCCTCATTCTACATGTTAGTGTTCAGTGTTATTCTATGTAGATGGAGAAATTGATCCATAGAAAAATTAAGTTATTTAAAATATTAAACAGTTACTAAACCAGTAATTTTTTTACCTCCAGATGCTAGTTTATATAAATTTACCATCAGAAGATTTCTTTTGTATTATTGAATATTATTTTTGAAAAGTAACAAAACTCAGGTAATTTCTTGATTTCAATGTTATTTTGAGTATGTTTCATGTTGAAATTGCATTGATGACAGACCATATTTCTCTTCTAATAATGATGTATTGAATCAAAAGGAATGTCGTTAGATTAAGCGTGATCACTCTATCAACAAATTCAAACCCAAGGGAAGCTAAAATTTATTTATATAATTTATAGTTTTCAGTTATATCTTGTTTGAGGGAAAGTCTTGCATCAATAAGTAAGATATTAGTGAAGCAGCTGATGTTTCTACACTGACTGAATCACTGTTAATATTAAGTATGAACCTGCCGAGAACAACTCGCAGTGGGATTGTCAGTGTCTCCCTGTGTTTTCTCAAATTGTGGGAGTGTTAGGATTTGAATGATCAAGGATGCCTTGTTTATTTCTACACTTGAACACAGTATAAACCATAAATCATTTGTGTGAAACAGTTTACTTGCGAACAATTTTGAAACTACTGATGTAAGCAATGTTTTCTTACTGGTGTCAAAAAGTATAAAAAAAAATTATATGAAAAAAGAACATATTCAACTGAAATTGAAAAGCCTAAACAAACTGCTTTTGGAGAAGAAACGCCTTGATTATATGACGTAGTTACACAAAGATTTTCTAGTGTGTAAATCTATGTATGTTACAGACATTTGTGCCGTAGCTGGGACTGGAGCATCAGAAACATGAAGAAGAACTATCCCAACTACAGTCACATGGGGCCACTTGGTAATGTAACACAAGCTGAATACATGTAGTACCTACTGGCCAAGTTTGACCCCTCTGTGTTATGTAGTACCTACTGGTCAGGTTTGACCCCTCTGTGTTATGTGATAGCTATAGGTGAGGTTTGACTCCTCTGTAATGTGATAGCTATAGGTGAGGTTTGACCTCTCTGTGTTGTGTGATAGCTATAGGTGAGGTTTGACCCCTCTGTGTTATGTGACAGCTATAGGTGAGGTTTGACCTCTCTGTGTTATGTGACAGCTATAGGTGAGGTTTGACCCCTCTGTGTTATGTGACAGCTATAGGTGAGGTTTGACCTCTCTGTGTTATGTGATAGCTATAGGTGAGGTTTGACCCCTCTGTGTTATGTGACAGCTAAAGGTGAGGATTGACCCCTCTGTGTTATGTGATTGTTACTGATCAGGTCTATCCTCTCCGTGTTGTATGTAATTATTTATGATGAATTTTCATCAGAATTATTAACATTGAATACTATTGCTCTCTGTTTGTAGACCTAAAGCCTGAGAGTCTGTGGACATCCCTTACAAAGTCATCCCCAAAGTCCACTGACAAGTACCTAAAGGTCACAAAACCAAACCGTCTGCCACGCATCCTCCCTAAGGAAAGACTTATGCTGACTGACACAGGGACAGGTGATATATTGTTTAAAAACTTCACATCATGCATTATGATTAGAAAAAAACAGTTTAAAGTATACTATATAGTACTTTATGATATTGCTAGTGCCATGTTCCTGATTGGTTTGCAGGTAAAGGCCCTGAGGTTGTCAAGGTGACAACAACCAAAACCAAGGGCAACAAAGGTGGCAAGGGTGTGAAACGCAAGAAAAAGATGTCAGGTAAGTTTGTTTATCTCATCAACCTCATAACTGTGTGGTTCTTTGGTATGTACTGCGTTGATTGATTATACAATTGTATTTACCTGATAATATCATATTAAGGTGTCAAGGTCAACCTGATAGTATCATATTAAGATGTCAAGGTCAACCTGATAGTATCATATTAAGGTGTCAAGGTCAACCTGAAGGTCAACCTGATAGTATCATATTAAGGTGTCAAGGTCAACCTGACAGTATCATATTAAGGTGTCAAGGTCAACCTGACAGTATCATATTAAGGTGTCAAGGTCAACCTGACAGTATTATATTAAGGTGTCAAGGTCAACCTGATTGTATCATATTAAATGTCAAGGTCAAAAGTTTAAAGATCGCATTTAACAGCTTTTGCAAATGAATCAAACAAAGATACTTATATGCATGAGAGTGTTAGTATTCCTGTTTTAAAGATATTTTCTAGTTTTACACATTTATATAGTGTTTATGTTCAGTCTTGGATATTCTAGTGATGTATCGTGTGAAAGCAAATGAGGATTTAAATTACTCAAACTGTTAACCTATATAAGCTGTAATATTGAAATCTTTTTCTGGAGTTTTTTATTGTGTCAGATATGGCTCCAAAAAAGAAAAAGAAGGCTGAAGTCCCTGATACATCAGATACTCCAAAGAAGAAAAAAATATTCCGTATGTAAAATTTAATGTCTGTAAAAGTTTGCTTGTTATTTCTGCTGTCATAGAACAAATGCTGAATATGTGAAGTGATTATAATATATAAGAGGAGATTGTATTTATATGTGCTGAAAAAGTCTCTCATTGACTTTTCACATTTGAGACTTTCAGCTCTTGAATGATGGGCCAACTTTAAGCCAAATGTATAATTTAGATGAATGGATTTTATGCAAATTTGCCCTTGAGAATGTCACACAGAGTAAATCTGCCCCTTTATTTTGATTATATATCTAAGCTCTATAACTCTCAACCTGTTATATCAAAACCTGTATTGTAAAATACATTGACTACCAGTAGAAATGTTAATGAATTGCTGTAGATTCCTTTCCAAGATGGCCCGATTCAAATACTTTACCCCCTGATTATATAACCTTGGCCCTGTAGTTTTTGTGTGGATACCTGTTATTGGCCTTCATAGCACAGCAGTTAGATTAATGGAAGCCTGAAAGTTTAGAATTAAAATCCTTTATGTCAGCACCATAAAATGGCATGAGCTTGTGCTTGTTACCTCTCTGAAAGATGAAAAATATTTGGAAGGTATTTTCAGATCAGATGATTTTTTCCAGAGTTATAGCCCTTGATCTTTGAAAATTTGAAGAAATTACCAGTTTCCATCAATTTTCTCAAAGTTGGATTGTTTTTTTGAACAGGAGATGATATAGACCTTGTAGCAGAGAAGATGAGGACTGGGCAGCGAGTGTCCTGGTCAGCTAAGGAGGACAGCATTGTATGTGTAGAACTTTACTGAATCCTAATATTGTATCAATTCTTCATTGAGTAGAGATATAGAAATGAACTCTCTCCATGCAGAGGAAGGATTTTTGAGTATCTTTGCATGAGTAACTATATCAATCTACTGAAATGATTTAGAAATGATTATGACAATTGAAATATCCTATTGTGTATTGATATCCCTTTAAGGGATCATATCAAACTTAATGAAATATATTGTCACGATTACTTTCATTTTTCAACAAATAAAAATATGAAGAGTAGCTGATAAAGAGAAAAGTGTACATAGTACGGTGGTTAAAGAGACTTGAATATTGTGTCGAAGAGTAAAACTGATATGGTGCATACCAGACATATAGGATCGGGTCAAGTTATAGCCTTAACACTACAATATTTTTGAATGTACAGAATAACCCATGATGAAAATTATTGTTTAAGCCAACATGCAGTGTCCATACCTTTGTCTGTCATTTATCCTGTGACAACTTGTCCCTTCAGACCAACTTCTTTTCCATAACCAAAAGGCCAAGAGTCATATTTGGGTGGGAGTTTCTGTGAATGAAACCTGACAAAATTTGTAAAAACAAAATTTGTAAAAAAAAAGCTTCAAACAACTTTGTCATGATAATTAGCTGGTAGGTTCAAGAATTGTGATAAGAAATGACCTGTTCTCAAGGGCAGAGGTCAAATTTCTTAAAACCTTCAAATGATTTCTTCTGATTAATGAAAAGCCCAGAATTATGATTATAGGCTGGTATATCCCTGGGATGAATTTGGATAGTGTTTATGAAAAGAAGTGACCATGACCCTTATTCATCCATATGTGTCAAATTTATTGAAACATGCAAACAACTTTTTCTGATTAACCAAAAGGCTTAGTGTTGTGATATTTGGCTGATGGGTTCCTGGAATGAAGACCAACTTTACTACTATTACTACTACTTTACTATTACTGTGTAGTGCTTGATTTGTTACTGTTCTTTGTTACTGTTCTTTGTTACAGTTACTCACCGGTAAAATCGCCAGCACCATTCTGGCCATGAACTCTCAGAAAGACAACCGCTCGGTGCCAGTACCGTTTTCTGAAATACGAAATGTTCTCCACAAATACTGTAAAGAGGTAGGTCAGTTATGGTTATCACTTTTTCCTAAAAGTGATTTTTTTGTTGTTGGAATGAAAATGACATGCCATTTATTTTTTGTATTTTAATAATCAGTTCCTAGGAAGTAAAACTGTCTGTTGTTTATGTATATTTTTGTGTAACCTTTGTATACATATAATCATTTTGACCGTTTCACCATCCTTTATCTAAAGACAAGCTAGAATTTCTCTACAAATAATACAAATATAAACATTTTCTTAAAATAACCATATTTTATGTATTGCCTGATGTAACCAATGTACTTTAAGTACATTTAGTTATTTTCTCATTTAAAAATTAAATATTCTGCATAAACTAATTGTTGGGATTTACACTGTAGTATCATAACCTCAATTTCTACACCTGGTTATATGTTGGTAGTTATCTGTTTAGGTAAAATGATCACACTTGAACTTCTGAAATCAACGCTTGGCAACTTTTTCTTGATTAAGTGATAGAGGTGTATTTATTTTTTTTGTCGAACTCACTGTGTTTTTACAACAGTTGAAAAATGATAGACTTATAAATATAGATGAATTTTATGTTATTTCAGAAATCCAAGGACAAATCCACAGAAGCCTGTAAGAGACGTATCCACTTCATACTGAAGAACCCACGCACAGAACACAATGTTTCTGTATTTCTGTCAGAGGCGCTTCAGGACCCTGTAAGTCATGTCTATAAATAGCACAGATCACAATGTTTCTGTATTTCTGTCAGAGGCACTTCAGGACCCTGTAAGTCATGTCTATCAATAGCACAGAGAACAATTCATCTGTATTTCTGTCAGTGGCACTTCAGGACCCTGTAAGTCATGTCTATAAATAGCACAGAGAACAATTCATCTGTATTTCTGTCAGAGGCACTTCAGGACCCTGTAAGTTGTGTCTATAAATAGCACAGAGAACAATGTTTCTGTATTTCTGTCAGTGGCACTTCAGGACCCTGTAAGTCGTGTCTATAAATAGCACAGAGAACAATGTTTCTGTATTTCTGTCAGTGGCACTTCAGGACCCAGTAAGTCGTGTCTATAAATAGCACAGAGAACAATGTTTCTGTATTTCTGTCAGTGGCACTTCAGGACCCAGTAAGTGGTGTCTATAAATAGCACAGAGAACAATGTTTCTGTATTTCTGTCAGTGGCACTTCAGGACCCTGTAAGTCGTGTCTATAAATAGCACAGAGAACAATGTTTTTGTATTTCTGTCAGTGGCACTTCAGGACCCAGTAAGTCATGTCTATAAATAGCACAGAGAACAATGTTTCTGTATTTCTGTCAGTGGCACTTCAGGACCCAGTAAGTCATGTCTATAAATAGCACAGAACACAATGTTTCTGTATTTCTGTCAGAGGTACTTCAGGACCCAGTAAGTCGTGTCTATAAATAGCACAGAGAACAATGTTTCTGTATTTGTCAGAGGCACTTCAGGACCCTGTAAGTCATGTCTATAAATAGCACAGAGAACAATGTTTCTGTATTTCTGTCAGTGGCACTTCAGGACCCTGTAAGTCGTGTCTATAAATAGCACAGAGAACAATGTTTTTGTATTTCTGTCAGTGGCACTTCAGGACCCAGTAAGTCATGTCTATAAATAGCACAGAGAACAATGTTTTTGTATTTCTGTCAGTGGCACTTCAGGACCCAGTAAGTCATGTCTATAAATAGCACAGAACACAATGTTTCTGTATTTCTGTCAGAGGCACTTCAGGACCCAGTAAGTCATATCTATAAATAGCAAAGAACACTTTGATATGTATTTTTAAATATGTCACGAAGTCATGCAGCTGAAAGACATCTGAATATTTAATGTAAATTTCTATGTTTACAGTATGTAGAACTCTGTTTTAATGTTATACTAACATTTTTTTTATAGAAAATTGACAAAGAATATGCCCATAAGAAGGTAACCTGGATGGCAGAGGATACAATCAAGGAATTCAGGAACCTGTTTGAGCTGCTCATCAAGAAATTCTCGTAATTATTTTTCTTGTTTATACTTGAACTGGTAGAGAGTTTAGAGATGTTTTTGTTGATGGTGACATATTATTACAAGAATTTTAGAGAATAAGAATGACTTTGGAGTTACATACAGATAACAAATCCATTTTGAAGTTACCTGGGTCCTTGTTACCTCAGAAAAATCTGTGGTTTTAGTGAAGAAAATTAAATATACCCTTCGAATCAATACAAACAATAGGGATTATTTGGACATTAAAAATTTTAAAAGCCTACAGGTGATCTTACTTTAATCAAATCAGCTATTAGTTAGCTTCAGAACAATTTGTCATGAATTAACTGCAATATGATGTTGTCTTGGTGCTGAGAGTCATAACCCAAAATTAGGAAAATTTATGTTATATAGGTGATGTTGTTTTTTATTGATGGTTTTTCCTGTGATTGTTGATGTAGATATTTTGATAAAGTTCCAAAACTCAGTTAAAGTTGTGATATTTCAGGACTGTTGACTTGAAGCAGAGTTACCTCCCTTCCCACCTGTCCGAGCTCCCTGATTTCAATATCAAGATAGTGAAGAAAATAAGTCTGGATGCAGTTTCTCACAAAGACGTCCAGTCCACTGCTGACATGTACATTGCTGTCCTTAGAAATATTATCCAGGTCAGTTCCAGAGGATGTAAATAAACAAATCAATTAATCCAAAGTACTGTGAAGTTTTTACTGTAAACCATCACTAGAACAAACGGACGACAAACACACACACTTGGTAGGACATTGATCCACAGAAAATTTCTCCTCCTGGAGATTTTTCTTGTCTGAATTTATGTAAACCAACTTTTTTGCATGCAATTTACATTTGTAAATTTCATAATTGAAACAAACTTGAGAAAGTTAATCATTGGTAGTTAAGACAGGGATATTTCACAATGACTGTAGTATGGTATGATAAAGTCTGTTTCACAAAAGTTAAACACCCTGAACTGGTTGTGATGGGGAACAAGAATGTTAGAAGCCATGAGAAAGATTGGTTTGCATTGTACAAGACATGTCAAAAGAGCTTATCTTGAAAGATATAGAATAAATTCAGATGACATGCTGTTCATTTCATTTTCATTTTCCAATTGGAATTTACACACCAAAATGAAGCAGTATCTACACTGTAGTGATTATTGATATAGAGTATTTTGTGATGTAGAAACGCGCTGAATACTTTGTAATTGATCTCTAGGTGACAGAGATAGTGATTTCAATAAAAAAAATTAAAGTTATAAGGATATGATGTTTCAACTGAAGATTTGTTGTTTTTTAACAAATAGTATGGTCAATTTTAGATGCCTCATTAAGGCTTCTCAAAAGTTACATATATATATTACATATATATAGGATATACTTATGTCCCGTTCTACTTTCATTGGATTTGATTTTTACTTTGGAATCAAATTGTTGCTTTGAAATTATTATTTTTTGTGATGATTTCACTTTCATTGATTTCATGTTTAATCTGTGAATTCATAAACTGTTAGAATCAGCGTAAGTAGACATACTGATCTGTATTTATACATGTCAACAAGTGTCAACAAAATGAAATATTTTGAAAAACCATGAAAATTTAGCCCCTCAAATATATGATATTACAGTAAGTTGTGATAAACAAAATTTTTTTTGGAAGGAAATTTTGTAAAGTTTTTTTTTTTTTGATTTTCAGTTAATTAAATTTTTGTTTGTTTTTTTACTTAGACATATGCTTCTTTAGAGGACAAACAGGGTCGTGTGTACGAGTGTTTCAAGTTGTTGAATCAGTACCCTCGTGACTGTATCATATCAGCTACAGCTCAACTACGAAGCAACAAGATCATCAACCGTATAAAAGCGGTAGGTAAATAAGAGTTAATGTTTATAATACATATTGTGTAGGATATACAGAACTTTGTTGGTATCTTTCCATCATACATGTTTATCAATTTTAGAAATGGCTTCATTTAATTTATTAAGTAAAGTTTCTTATTAAAGTTTCCATCTTGCCAGACTTTTCAGATTAAAAGATCCTGGTTTTAGAATTAATTTTTATTTTATGACATTAGGATTATTGGAAAAGAAAAAAAAACCTTAACTTAGTTTTCATTTTGTTTTTATTTTTGTGTTTGATACAGCATGAACATAAAAAACAGAGAATTCCCTCGACTCTGCAGAACTACAAGATCTCCCAGAAGTGAGTTTCATCTTACACTTATACTTCTTCTTCCTCTTATCATGTTTTTTACACTTTTTTTTTCATCATACTAGTAAGTAACTTGATGTATTCAAAATGCCATGATCTCCCAATTTAAACATCCAATTTTGTGTCTTTATATCCCCTGCAACGAAGTTTGAAGTAGGGGTGGGGGGATGTTGTATTGGACTTTGCTTGTATGTCTGTTTGTTTGACTGTAGACAAAGTTTGTTTGGCTATGCATTCACTCTGTTTACAACAGATTTTTTTTTTTTCTGAAATGACCAGCAGTACAATATGGAGTTGGATCCTCTGGACTTCCCCTCCTTTTTCAGAGAGTTATCCCCATTTGATATAAAACAAAAATGGACACATTTTTGTCTGTCCATGCATATTGAGATTTAGCCGTTTTCTAAGCATCCAATTAACTTGAAATTTGGTTCACACATTCGTTGAAAAGTACCATTCAACATATATGTGTTCTTCCTCATTTGAGTAAAAACTAATTTTTCCCTAACTTCCTGTAAGTTTTTGACTTGTTCATTTTGCCAACATTAAGTTCTGCTGAGTGTCTCTTCATGTACCTTATGATGGATTAAGAATGATAGTTTCTTGTTTATTTTAAATACTTAACGATACATTAATTTTTAAATTGCAGGACATGAAATACCTGTGATGACATTTTGTGCTCACAGTAATTGGTATTTAGTCTTTCATCAGCAAAGGGGGTATTAGTTATCCTCAAGTTTGCAGTGTAAATAATATACAGGTTTCATTTCTTTATCTATATTCTTCAAACCAAGTGGAAATCCAAACCTTTCCTGACTTTAATGGTACAAAAGCCATGAATTTGTAAATAAATGACGGAGAGCTAAAGTTTAAACGGATAACAACCCCTGAAGCCTGGTTTTATTTTTTCCTTTTGACAAAACTGTCTACTTATTTCTGTGTGTTAGACAGGATATTATCAGTTCAGTTATTTCTGTGACATGCTACAGGAAATTGTATAAGTTCATGAAAGGATACTCTCGGAAGCTGAATTTCCACCATGTATTGCTATTTTGTATCGCTCTGAAAGTCCAAATGAGCTTGATGAAACTGATAGGATCTTTCACCCGTTGGGGATGAGGGTCTCTTTACCTGGACAGATCTATCAGTGTATTTTACCATTATAAGATTACCTTGTCTACCATGGCAACAATTCACTGGCGGCTTGTTAACCAATCAATAACATTTTTGTATCTATGACATCATTTCAACACCGAGTGACAAAGACACAATCCTAAAGCATTAGAGTAAGGGGAAAATAATTATTCACTTCCTTGTTGGTGAGATGAGAGATCTCAACCCTTGGGAAAAGATTATTTATAGTTTTCTGTCGATGGTTAAGATTCCTTATTACATACACAAGGGAGTGATTGATAACTTTGTTGTTATTGTTATCTTGTACTTCACACCGTCAATGTGAAAGGGTAATCCCCACCATCTCCACCCTTAGGTGAGAAAAAGAAATCTACCATTGGTAGAACACACCTCGCCAAAGTAACAGGAAAGACATTCTTCAATGGTTCTTGTCAATCCTTTCTACATCATATCAACACTTGGCCTTTTTGAACTAAAAGACATCTTGAGACAGGCCTTAAATTGTAATGTTTGATACACAGGTGATCATTGCTGAAGTTCAAGCCTCAGCCACATTCAAGATGGCTGCCATCTTGGAACATTTGTTATCGCTACATCTCCTGACCAGGATTCTTACTAATGAGTCTTGATTGGTTCTCAGATGGTACAGTGTATGATATGGATCACTACATTTCAGATAGATACTTGGGCTGTTGTCTTGAAAACATTATTAATGCTACTTTTGAACAGAAAAGTGTTTTAGAGACTAGATTTAAAAAAAATGAGTGAAGTTTGACTATTAATTCATACTCACTGTAATTTAGACTCCTTACCACAGTAAAGATGGCTGCCACAACTCCATCTCGAAACACTTACAATCACTACTTACCCTGAACAGAAAGGACCATTTGTGGACCACCTGTCTCAGTATGACTTTCGGTCCATCAGAAGGAATGGTAACTAGTTTTATTCAGAATGGTGACCCTCTTGTGGGAGCATGAACAACCGTGGATCAAACACAACATTGAAACCCTTTGACCCTAATTAGATATGTTGGAGATTACAGTGCATAATGATGACAATAGGGATTTACTAGAAATTGTGATTGTTGTAACCTTCAGTAGTACTGATAGTAAAATACATTTAGTAACCAATTGATTAAAAACTGGTTCTTTACCTATTTACTCTTAGTCTTGAGGACAATTCTGTTTTTAAAAACAGATCCACCTTGAATCATATCTAATTCAGCTTAATTCGAGCATATAACTATTAGCAAATTTAGAATGTCAAACTTTGAATTAGCCAATTGAAACTGGTAGATAAGTTGGTATACTATGTAATAATTGTGTTTACTTTGTAATAATAGTACAGAGGATGATTACCACTATTTCTTTTAATGTAATAATATTATTGTAACTAATTATAATACATCCCACATTCCTATTATACAACTCTCTATCATACTTTATATATCGTTGTATTACTACTCCATTACCCTTGTATGTTTGTAATTGAAATCAAACCTTATCAATATTTACGATGAGATGCCATTGATTATAATTATTTATGTGCAACAATGTATTTAACATGTACCATTGTATGGTAACTCTGTTACCCAGTCTGCCATCTTGTAACACAGATCAATGTGGCGAGAGAGAAATATACAAACATTCTGATAACTACCTACACATCTGATCCAATTAGTTACAGCTCTACGACATCAGCAAATTACCTATAGGAATGTCATGACTCCATTAGAAAAATATCTTCAAATTGATAAAATCCTGCACCTGTTTGATTGTGGAATTTTGTTCGAATTTTGGTCAGCAGCATCTTCAGATGAAGGGAACACCATTTTATTTAAAAAGAGGTGAGGGGTCCTGCTCCGGCTCCAGAAAATCATCTTTGGAAAAAAAAAAATAATTGGAAAATGTTCGCAATATTTTCTTTGACAAATGTTTTGTCATGATTGATGAAATATCAAGATGAATGGTTTAGGCCCTTTGGTTCTCCTGTTTGTCTCCTGTTTATGGTATAATAACAATCTGAAGACATGAATGGTACAGGCCCTTTGGGCCTCCTGTTTGTCTCCTGTTTGTCTCCTTGTTTGTGGTATTATAACAATCTGAAGACATGAATTGTACAGGTCCTTTGGGCCTCCTGTTTGTCTCCTGTTTATGGTATTATGACAATCTGAAGACATGAATGGTACAGGTCCTTTGGGCCTCCTGTTTGTCTTCTGTTTGTGGTATTATAACAATCTGAAGACATGAATGGTACAGGTCCTTTGGGCCTCCTGTTTGTCTCCTGTTTATGGTATTATGACAATATGAAGACATGAATGGTACAGGTCCTTTGGGCCTCCTGTTTGTCTTCTGTTTGTGGTATTATAACAATCTGAAGACATGAATGGTACAGGTCCCATGGGCCTCCTGTTTGTCTTATGTTTGTGGTATTATAACAATCTGAAGACATGAATGGTACAGGTCCTTTGGGCCTCCTGTTTGTCACCTGTTTATGGTATAATAACAATCTGAAGACATGAATGGTACAGGCCCTTTGGTTCTCCTGTTTGTCTCCTGTTTGTCTTCTGTTTATGGTATAATAACAATCTGAAGACATGATTGGTACAGGTCCTTTGGGCCTCCTGTTTGTCACCTGTTTATGGTATAATAACAATCTGAAGACATGAATGGTACAGGCCCTTTGGGCCTCCTGTTTGTCTTCTGTTTATGGTATAATAACAATCTGAAGACATGAATGGTACAGGCCCTTTGGGCCTCCTGTTTGTCTTCTGTTTGTCTTCTGTTTATGGTATAATAACAATCTGAAGACATGAATGGTACAGGCCTTTTGGGCCTCTTGTTTGTCTCCTGTTTGTCTCCAGTTTATGGTATAATAACAATCTGAAGACATGAATGGTACAGGTCCTTTGGGCCTCCTGTTTGTCTTCTGTTTGTGGTATTATAACAATCTGAAGACATGAATGGTACAGGCCCTTTGGGCCTCCTGTTTGTCTTCTGTTTGTCTCCTGTTTATGGTATAATAACAATCTGAAGACATGAATGGTACAGGTCCTTTGGGCCTCCTGTTTGTCTTCTGTTTATGGTTTGTTAACGATCTGGAGAGAAAACATCAAGCTTGTATCTTACGATTCACTAATCTTGAAATCAATGTGAAATGGCCATTTGTACGAAGGCAAGCAGAGCAATTTTTTCATTGAGGCACAAAATTGATGTGTAGTCTATTGATTAGTAAATATCCAAGCAGATGATTATCAATTGATGTATCTGTTAAGTAATTGAACTGAATATTATAATTTTAGTATTGACATGGAAGGGTAATTAATGCCGTAAGTAAATCACAGAACAAATGACTGCTGTAAATCTGTTTTAGACTCAAAAGTTAGGTGTTTGTACTTTGAATTCTTGTGTATTTGATAATCTTTGATTGATTGCCATGGGATTTCCTAAAGAGTGTAGGGAGACTTTGATAAGAAAACTCTACAGTCATTAGTCATCTCTCTCTGAGCTGTCATTGGAACAGCATTCAAAACTGGCATGGCGTCAGAGCACATTTCTGTGACAGATGTGATGTCTTTATCAAACTGAAGAAATATGGCTATTTTAGGTGAAACAGAAAATTACAACTTGGCATTGACCCTCTGAGCTTTGATCCTCTCAGCCTTGACCTACTGTCTGTTCTAACAATGACACCAGATTCCCAGTGCCTTTTATTCAGATCAATTTGGTCAAAATCATTCCAAAAGAATACTTGTAAATAATTTATTTCTTAACGGAGGTATTTGTCCAACAATACACCGGTGCCTGATAATAAGCCCACCCATATTTGTGGTTATTGAAGAGTGTTTTTATTAAATACTATTTGGTTCTCTGATAATTAAACTGGCTGCCTGATTGAGGTCTTTATTGTCCGGTGATAAAGTCACTTCCTGATTGAGGTCTTTATTGTCTGGTAATAAAGTCACTTCCTGATTGAGGTCTTCATTGTCTGGTAATAAAGTCACTTCCTGATTGAGGTCTTCATTGTCTGGTAATAAAGTCACTTCCTGATTGAGGTCTTCATTGTCTGGTAATAAAGTCACTTCCTGATTGAGGTCTTTGTTGTCTGGTAATAAAGTCACTTTCTGATTTGAGTCTTTATTGTCTGGTAATAAAGTCACTTCCTGATTTGGGTCTTGATGCCAATGTGAAAGCCCATGGTAAACAGATTTGGTAAAGTGTAAACTATAACTTTCTAAGAGGCAAGAATTGGCATTTATAATGAAAAGGTGTGTTTTTATGATAGATACTGGTATGGCTACCTGTCAAGGTTTCCTGCATCTTTGTTTGAAGACAGCGTCGAGTGTCTCCACTTGTTTGAAAAGACTTTCCTTGACCCCACACAGCACATGACTTTCAACAACATTACACAAGGTGGTTACTGTGCTTCGATCATAGCCATGATGTCTATAGGTGTGGTGAGTATAACATTTCTGTTATTTGTGGAAAAGTGGGGATAAGTGCTGTAGACAAACTTTGCTTAGATTTAAACAACAGAAATACTTGATAGAACACTTCTCATTGTCATTACTTTTGGTATCGTTTTGTTTCCAGCAAACTCTGACATTTTGTTTCTAGCGATCATGGACATTTTGTTTCCAGCTATTTCTGATATTTTGTTTCCAGCTATAATGGACATTTTGTTTCCAGCTATTTCTGATATTTTGTTTCCAGCTATAATGGACATTTTGTTTCCAGCTATTTCTGACATTTTGTATCCAGCTATCTTGGATGTTTTGTTTCCAGCTATAATGGACATTTTGTTTCCAGTTATCTCAGACATTTTGTTTCCAGCTATAATGGACATTTTGTTTCCAGCTATCTCCGACATTTTGTTTCCAGCTATCTCCGACATTTTGTTTCCAGCTATCATGGACATTTTGTATCCAGCTATCATGGGCATTTTGTTTCCAGCTATCTCCGACATTTTGTTTCCAGCTATCATGGACATTTTGTATCCAGCTATCATGGACATTTTGTTTCCAGCTATCATGGACATTTTGTTTCCAGCTATCATGGACATTTTGTTTCCAGCTATCATGGACATTTTGTTTCCAGCTATCATGGACATTTTGTTTCAGACTTCCAAGTCATCAATATTGTAGTGATATATGAGTAGTACAAATGACCAGTAAGGATGGTAGGGATCTATGTACACCATTCAAACATCCAGGTGACTTGTTGGTATTTACATTTATTTACTCTTGTTTCCAGTCCCCTTTGTTTGTCCTTCACTCTTGTTTTACATAAGATTGGGATTGTTGTTTCTGGCAGTGTATTAAATGTACAACTTGTCATGCTGAAGTCAATTTCTTTCCAGGTGTCTTTTCACAGTCAGATCCCACGCGATATGATCATACTGGACCCTTGCAATGAGCTTGCGTGTAGGGGCTTGAGTGATCCTAGGGTTGAGCCCAATAAAGGAGCTGCAAAGAAAGATCAAGGGTCCAGTTCAGCTACGAAGGAGCCAGCTGGAGCCACAAAGGACACTACAGGTCCAGTCCCAATGGATATAGGTATAAGAGAACAGGAAACACCTTTTCAAATTTTTAGGGGTTTAGGGTTTGCGTCCCGCCGAGGGACATATCCAGTCCCATGAAGAATCAATGTCATATTGTCAGGTGGATTTGGTTCCTAATTACTGTGTACTGTCCTAACATCCAATTGTATACTTGATCTTTTCAAGGTAGTCTTCAGTCAAAGTTAAAGGGTCAAAATCGGCAAATTCATCAACCATTTCTCATTGTAAATATATATTTTCTATTTTAATATGATTAGGAATTACATTAAGGTATTTTACATTTTTTTATTGTATGACTCTAGATGATGCAGTTTCGTTACCTGACCAACGGTCTACAACATCTGGCAGTATCACTGCCAGCACAGCTTTAACACCAGGATCCAAATTTTTGACGTCGTCAGACATGGGAAATGAAACTGCTGCTCAGAATGAACCACACTGGACTCATGGTGAGCTGATGAAGGTGACAGTCAGCCCTACAAGTTGTTTGGAGATGGAGGACTTGCCGCGTCAACTTAGCTTTCCTGGTTTGGTGGGGAAACCCCAAATGACGCCATCAAGGTCATTGATCACAATACGAAGGTCATGTGCAGAGGATGCACAAAATTTGAAACATTTCAAGTTTCAGGACAATTTTGTAATTTCCAGTTGTAATATCAGAATGAAAATAAAAGAAAACGTTGAAAGTTCTAGCGGAGAAAAGCAAGAGGAGAGAACTGTGGCAGACATCATGAAGGATGTCTTGATGAGTCCAGTTGAGATGAAGGCAATTGTACAGAAGCTGACAAGAACCTTACCTTTTGAGGTAGTCATTACTATTGGTGGTCAGACAGGCAGGGAGTGTAATGTTGATGGGGAAGTACAAATTGTACAACAATAACTTAACTAAAGAGGATTACATTTGTAATATTTTTTAAAACATTAAATGATTACATCTGTGACCTTGACAGAAAACATTGAATGATAACATCTGTGACCTTGACAGAAAACATTAAATGATTACATCTGTGACCTTGACAGAAAACATTGAATGATAACATCTGTGACCTTGACAGAAAACATTAAATGATTACATCTGTGACCTTGACTGAAAACATTGAATGATAACATCTGTGACCTTGACTGAAAACATTAAATGATAACATCTATGACCTTGACTGAAAACATTGAATGATAACATCTGTGACCTTGACTGAAAACATTAAATGATTACATCTGTGACCTTGACTGAAAACATTGAATGATAACATCTATGACCTTGACTGAAAACATTGAATGATAACATCTGTGACCTTGACTGAAAACATTAAATGATTACATCTGTGACCTTGACTGAAAACATTGAATGATAACATCTGTGACCTTGACTGAAAACATTAAATGATTACATCTGTGACCTTGACTGAAAACATTGAATGATAACATCTATGACCTTGACTGAAAACATTGAATGATAACATCTGTGACCTTGACTGAAAACATTAAATGATTACATCTGTGACCTTGACAGAAAACATTAAATGATTACATCTGTGACCTTGACTGAAAACATTGAATGATAACATCTATGACCTTGACTGAAAACATTGAATGATAACATCTGTGACCTTGACTGAAAACATTAAATGATTACATCTGTGACCTTGACAGAAAACATTAAATGATTACATCTGTGACCTTGACAGAAAACATTAAATGATTACATCAGTGACCTTGACTGAAAACATTGAATGATAACATCTGTGACCTTGACAGACAACATTTGATGATAACATCTGTGACCTTGACTGAAAACATTGAATGGTAACATCTGTGACCTTGACAGACAACATTGAATGATAACATCTGTGACCTTGACTGAAAACATTGAATGATAACATCTGTGACCTTGACTGAAAACATTGAATGATTACATCTGTGACCTTGACTGAAAACATTGAATTATAACAAGTGACCTTGACTGAAAACATTGAATGATAACATCTGTGACCTTGACAGACAACATTTGATGATAACATCTGTGACCTTGACTGAAAACATTGAATGATTACATCTGTGACCTTGACTGAAAACATTGAATTATAACAAGTGACCTTGAATGAAAACATTGAATGATAACATCTTTGACCTTGACAGACAACATTTGATGATAACATCTGTGACCTTGACTGAAAACATTGAATGATTACATCTGTGACCTTGACTGAAAACATTGAATTATAACAAGTGACCTTGACTGAAAACATTGAATGATAACATCTGTGACCTTGACAGACAACATTTGATGATAACAAGTGACCTTGACTGAAAACATTGAATGATAACATCCGTGACCTTGATTTAAAACATTGAATGATTACCTAAGTATAAGTATAAGTATACTAACAGAAGCAATGAATCTTACGTTTCAATTCCTTCCTTTTGTCTTAACTCCTAATACCTTGGTATTTGGTTTAACATTAAAATCCTTTTTTATTATGTCATAAGTTTGGAAATCATTACCAAAAAAAATCTTGTTTTCTTTCAGGAATTCAGAGGTTTGCTTATCAGCATACTTCAGTACCTATAATTAGTTATTGTCTGACGGCAGTTCTTTCCTTTTCAGCTTGATATGGATGTTGTATGGGAAAGCATAGCGCCTCCCTTATTGGCTCACTGCCAACAGCTGTACAATGTGATTGACAATCACGGGAGTCTTGGGATATCAAAATTTGATTTGCAGGTAACTGAAGAGATTTTAATGTATATTTGCTGTTTAAAAGGAAAAGAAAAAAATCTTTGCTATCAATCTTTGGGGATTGTTGAATTTTTTTTATATGTTTAAGCTAGAAATTGTTATTAAGTTAAAATCTTTAAATTTAAAAAAATGAATTTTGAAATAATCTGACAGTGTTAGTTAACAAGGTTTTATTTCTCATTGATAATAATTAAATCAGAATGAATTTGTTGTAATAGGTTTACTTCTTCACAAATTTGACAGCAGAAGGAAGGGTATTCTGACAGAATACATAAAATTGTGTATGGTATACAAATCTTCCACTGGATAGCCCCTTATGGTCTTTTTCAATGACACTTAAAAGGACATAACTCCTCCCTGAGGTATTAAATCTGGAGAATAATTTTACCTTCCAAGACTTTCTCGTGGAGTTATGCCCCTTTGTTGAAAAAGTTGTATAAAAGTATGTATCTGGATAACTCCTCATAGACTCTTCTATCTTTTTCTATGAACATAACAACATTCTGAGGTTGTACATCTAGGGATGATGTTTTCTTTGCTACCATTTCATATAGAGTTATTAGCCTTTATTTAAAAACAGCATAAAGTTTTTTCCAGACAATTCTAGGACTCTTCAGTAAGTTTCAATATGTTTAATGTTCATGATTTGTTTTGAGTAAAGAGGTAAGCATGCATTCACTAAAGGTGCCAACATTTTTAATTCACAAGAGTCTCTTGCAAAAACATGTGTTTCAAGGGTAAAGACATTGTATGATTGGTAGATCATTGGAGTTTAAGGCTAATCTTTAAGAGTCCCCCATCTGGTTTAATGTTGTGTCCATCTGTCCTTCCTTCCTGCTGTCTTTCTGTCCTTTGATTCTTCAGTCTGTCCTTCTGTTATCATGTCCAGACTTTTTCTCTGATACTACTTGTTACTGGCTTTCATGTATGGGGTATGGGGTCACCTTGTGAGGTGGTGTGTCATGTATTAAAAGTAGGTCACTGTAACATACATCATTTGTTATGGGCTCTTCCTCCTTCATTACTTGTCACTGGAGCTTCATACTTGTGGTAGGAGTTCATTTTAGTGAGGTAGTGTGGTGTGTATCAAAATGACCGAGGACCTGCAACAAAGAACAAGTTTGTCTAGGCCCTTTAGCCGTGGTTACTTAAAAAAAAGCATGCAAAATAACATTAGTGAAATTGTAATCAATTATGGTCATACATAATCAATTGTGGTCACACATAATCAATTATGGTCATATTCTATAAAGCAGTTTTTAAAAAAAAAAAAAAAATAAATAAATAAACTAGAAATTGTTGCTAACAATTTGGCTGGCTTTTCACTTCTTTGCTGACAATATACCGAAAAACAAAACATTAACAATGGTTTTCGAGATATTGCAGTTTTTATGTTTTTAACTTATGACGTCATGGCGGCCATATTGGATTTTTGACCTACTTAAAAAATCGGTCTCGACAACTTCATATACGTATTTACAAATAGGTGAATAGACAGTATGTCTAGCTTTTACAATTTAAAAGATTACGAACCCACAATATTGGAAGAAGAATAATAAGAATAAGAAACATAACAAAAACAATAGGTCTTTTCACCAGTCCTAATAAAATTTTTAAAAAGTGCAACGGCTGACTAGTTTGATTGATCAGATTATTACAAATTGTTTTGGATACATCCCCAACAAATTGACCTACAGATGTCAACTCTATGACCTCATGGGAAATCGCCCCACAGCAAATATTTCTATTAGCTTGATCAAACAAAATGAACATTTATCTCGGGAAATGATATACAGAATTTCTTATATTAAAGTGTATTTTCTTGTAGGACTTCATCCCACCAGAGGAATGGTACTTACCATGTTTGAACTTGCTGGATGAGAAGTTTGCCGTGAGTACCAATGCATGTTGTTTTTGTTTCCTTATTGAGATAGTATGTCTTCGTTGCACTCGTCCATGTAGAATGTCTTTCCTTTCAGAGTCTTCTGGTGTATGGAATATTGAAATGATGATACTTAGCAGGATTGTATTTTAAAAAAGTAAATATAGTATATACCTGAACAAAAGTGTATAATTTTGTGACGGTGAAAGAAAATGGCTGACCTTATTTGAACACTGGTTGTGTATGGATGTAGATAAGATTTTATTTCAGAAATGTTCATTGTAATTATTTACATCAATTATCATAAAAAGCATTGTATTTCAGAAGGAAATTCCTTTTCATTTCAGTCGCTTTTCATTTTCAAGAAAACTATAGGTGACAATTCAGGTCTTGACCTGTTATTTTCTGGGGGAAAAATTACAAGAGAAAAAATGCATCTTGAATGCTTTCGTAACAGGATCTGTGGCAAAGAGGACATTAAACTGTTATTTACTGAGAAAGAAATAAGGAAGTGGAGAAAAGATATACATCGGGAATATTTCCTTATCTGGATTAACAACCTTTCTAATACAATAAATTATGGGATGGTTATCAAGTTATGTAAGTTTTAGGAATGGGTATATATTCCTCAGTAGACACTGTCTGAGGAATGTTAAGGTTTACAGTAAATTCTATATGTTGTGTTATAAGAGTGCTACAGAGATGTGTGGAGAGACCCTCACAGCAACATCATTGAACACAGTTTCTGTATGGATGTAATGTGTTCTCAGGGAAAAAAATATGGTTCAATGAGGTGATAAATATACAAAGTTCATCAGGCAACCAGCAGGGCTGAGGTAATTCACATAGACAGATATTAAAAAAAAATACAATTTATCCTTCCTTGATAAGCCCTTTTTCTGTCTTTATTACTGCAAGTTTAATTCTGGTAGACAGATTCACAGCAAATAGAAGTTTATATCACTAGCATGGAAAATATCAAACCATGTTTATTTTGATGAGAAAAGCAAATTTTTGTAGAGAAATGTAATAGCATTACAAAAGGCTGTGAAATTTCTCGACTGTTAAAACCAAACAATTGTCAAAAGGAAAAAAAAGAAATAGAGAGAAAATTATTCTAGATGATGCTATGGTAAATAGATTACAAGACCTGACACCTCTCTAAGTGTTTGTGTGTCAAGAAATGCATTCTTTTCAGCTTTTTGTTCAAAGACTGAAAATATATGACATCGCTTAGTGTAAATCTTTACTTAAGAAAACTGCATGGAGTCATGCAGATGCATATTTGATTTCAAATTGGATTTCGGAAGTGCTGATGAACGTGACTGGTGCTGATTCCAGAACTTGTAAGTACATGTTAATTCTCACCTTTGGCTTGTTGGTTTTACATTGTAATGAAGTCTTAATAGGATTCCATAGTAAAAGGCCTTAAACGTTCCTTAAATGTATCAAACACATGAAAACGGAACACAGCTGATGCTGGTTTTGGTGGCTATTGATTTTCACACCTCTCAAGTTTTTAGACTTTGGTTATAAGGCCTGGGTTTTAGACTTTGGTTATAAGGCCTTGGTTTTAGACTTTGGTAATGAGGCCTTGGTTTTAGACTTTGGTTATAAGGCCTGGGTTTTAGACTTTGGTAATGAAGCCTTGGTTTTAGACTTTGGTTATGATGCCTTGGTTTTAGACTTTGGTAATGAAGCCTTGGTTTTAGACTTTGGTAATGAGGTCTGGGTTTTAGATTTTGGTAATGAAGCCTGGGTTTTAGACTTTGGTTATGATGCCTTGGTTTTAGACTTTGGTAATGAAGCCTTGGTTTTAGACTTTGGTAATGAAGCCTTGGTTTTAGACTTTGGTTATGATGCCTTGGTTTTAGACTTTGGTAATGAAGCCTTGGTTTTAGACTTTGGTAATGAAGCCTGGGTTTTAGACTTTGGTTATAAGGCCTTGGTTTTAGACTTTGGTAATGAAGCCTTGGTTTTAGACTTTGGTAATGAAGCCTGGGTTTTAGACTTTGGTAATGAAGCCTGGGTTTTAGACTTTGGTAATGAAGCCTGCGTTTTAGACTTTGGTTATGATGCCTTGGTTTAAGACTTTGGTAATGAGCCTTGGTTTTAGACTTTGGTAATGAGCCTGGGTTTTAGACTTTGGTAATGAAGCCTGGGTTTTAGACTTTGGTTATGAGGCCTTGGTTTTAGATTTTGGTAATGAAGCCTTGGTTTTAGACTTTGGTAATGAGGCCTTGGTTTTAGACTTTGGTAATGAGCCTGGGTTTTAGACTTTGGTAATGAGCCTGGGTTTTAGACTTTGGTAATGAGCCTGGGTTTTAGACTTTGGTAATGAAGCCTTGGTTTTAGACTTTGGTAATGAAGCCTGGGTTTTAGACTTTGGTAATGAAGCCTGGGTTTTAGACTTTGGTAATGAGCCTGGGTTTTAGACTTTGGTAATGAAGCCTTGGTTTTAGACTTTGGTAATGAAGCCTTGGTTTTAGACTTTGGTAATGAAGCCTTGGTTTTAGACTTTGGTAATGAAGCCTGGGTTTTAGACTTTGGTAATGAAGCCTGGGTTTTAGACTTTGGTAATGAGCCTGGGTTTTAGACTTTGGTAATGAAGCCTTGGTTTTAGACTTTGGTTATAAGGCCTTGGTTTTAGACTTTGGTAATGAAGCCTTGGTTTTAGACTTTGGTAATGAAGCCTGGGTTTTAGACTTTGGTTATAAGGCCTTGGTTTTAGACTTTGGTTATGATGCCTTGGTTTTAGACTTTGGTAATGAAGCCTTGGTTTTAGACTTTGGTAATGAAGCCTGGGTTTTAGACTTTGGTAATGAAGTCTGGGTTTTAGACTTTGGTAATGAAGCCTGGGTTTTAGACTTTGGTAATGAGGCCTTGGTTTTAGACTTTGGTAATGAGGCCTTGGTTTTAGACTTTGGTAATGAAGCCTGGGTTTTAGATTTTGGTAATGAGCCTTGGTTTTAGATTTTGGTAATGAGCCTGGGTTTTAGACTTTGGTAATGAGCCTTGGTTTTAGACTTTGGTAATGAAGCCTGCGTTTTAGACTTTGGTTATGATGCCTTGGTTTAAGACTTTGGTAATGAGCCTTGGTTTTAGACTTTGGTAATGAGCCTGGGTTTTAGACTTTGGTAATGAAGCCTGGGTTTTAGACTTTGGTAATGAGGCCTTGGTTTTAGACTTTGGTAATGAGGCCTTGGTTTTAGATTTTGGTAATGAAGCCTTGGTTTTAGACTTTGGTAATGAAGCCTTGGTTTTAGACTTTGGTAATGAAGCCTTGGTTTTAAATTTTGGTAATGAAGCCTTGGTTTTAGACTTTGGTAATGAAGCCTTGGTTTTAAAGTTTGGTAATGAAGCCTTGGTTTTAGACTTTGGTAATGAAGCCTGGGTTTTAAATTTTGGTAATGAAGCCTTGGTTTTAGACTTTGGTAATGAAGCCTGGGTTTTAGACTTTGGTTATGAGGCCTAGATTTTATGCATTGGTTGTCTCGCCTTGGTATTAAAGTACATTTTATCAAGGTTATTTTTTGCAAAATTTCATCAGTAAATGTTTGTATTTCTCTGAAGAAATTGGGTTTAGGTTATCAACTGACTAACATTTTTACATTTTCATGTCATTGATGAGGATTAGATTTAGATTGTTTAGAATGATTAAATGTGAAATATGTAAAGGTCAGAGTTTGTTGAACATGTTTAGCATTCAATAATCAAATGTTCCATTTTATATATCTTATTTTTATTGTCACATTTTGCTGCAGTTTATTTTTGAGAGTAATATTTTTATTTCTATTGCAGCCAAAGGGACATTGAAAGCATATTTAACATGAGACAATATGTGAACAGTACAGTCTAAGGTAAGTTCCTGATTGACAACTTGGAGTAAGTGCACGTGACATTTACATGCCTACATCTTTCTTGTTATTAGGCAAGGCATATACTAGATTTTAAACTTTAGTATGATGCTGGATTGTTTAGATTCAGTTATTCTTTCTAGCACAACCCTAAACTCTAGAAGGGTGCGGCTTTGTTGTCTTTAAAACACTTTGTGTTAGTGTTTAATTTGTTTTTCCATTTTGTGTGAAGAAACCACACAGATACAGACCACTTTATATATTCCTGCTTCAGTGTCATTACACTGCCATACTAATGAGTATACTGTCAACATCGTCATTGTATTTGTAATGTCGGTTATACTGTCAACATCGTTAATTGTATTTGTAATGTCGGTTATACTGTCAACATCGTTAATTGTATTTGTAATGTCGCAGTAATGACTGATGGTATTTGTCAATGTCCCCACAGTAATGACTGATGGTAATTATCAATGTCCCCCACAGTAATGACTGTTGGTAGTTATCAATGTCCCCACAGTAATGACTGGTGGTACTATCAATGTCCCCACAGTAATGACTGATGGTACTTATCAATGTCCCCCACAGTAATGACTGGTGGTACTATCAATGTCCCCCACAGTAATGACTGGTGGTACTATCAATGTCCCCCACAGTAATGACTGATGGTAGTTATCAATGTCCCCCACAGTAATGACTGATGGTACTATCAATGTCCCCCACAGTAATGACTGGTGGTACTATCAATGTCCCCCACAGTAATGACTGATGGTACTTATCAATGTCCCCCACAGTAATGACTGATGGTAGTTATCAATGTCCCCCACAGTAATGACTGATGGTACTATCAATGTCCCCCACAGTAATGACTGATGGTACTTATCAATGTCCCCCACAGTAATGACTGATGGTACTTATCAATGTCCCCCACAGTAATGACTGATGGTACCAATGTCCCCCACAGTAATGACTGATGGTACTTTCAATGTCCCCCACAGTAATGACTGATGGTACTTATCAATGTCCCCCACAGTAATGACTGATGGTACTTATCAATGTCCCCCACAGTAATGACTGATGGTAGTTATCAATGTCCCCCACAGTAATGACTGATGGTACTATCAATGTCCCCACAGTAATGACTGGTGGTGGTAATGACTGATGGTACATCAATGTCCCCCACAGTAATGACTGGTGGTACTATCAATGTCCCCACAGTAATGACTGATGGTAGTTATCAATGTCCCCCACAGTAATGACTGATGGTACTATCAATGTCCCCACAGTAATGACTGGTGGTACTATCAATGTCCCCCACAGTAATGACTGATGGTAGTTATCAATGTCCCCCACAGTAATGACTGATGGTACTTATCAATGTCCCCCACAGTAATGACTGATGGTACTTATCAATGTCCCCCACAGTAATGACTGATGGTACTTATCAATGTCCCCACAGTAATGACTGGTGGTACTATCAATGTCCCCACAGTAATGACTGGTGGTACTATCAATGTCCCCCACAGTAATGACTGGTGGTACTTGTCAATGTCCCCACAGTAATGACTGATGGTACTTATCAATGTCCCCCACAGTAATGACTGATGGTAGTTATCAATGTCCCCACAGTAATGACTGATGGTACTTATCAATGTCCCCCACAGTAATGACTGATGGTACTTATCAATGTCCCCACAGTAATGACTGATGGTAGTTATCAATGTCCCCACAGTAATGACTGGTGGTACTATCAATGTCCCCCACAGTAATGACTGATGGTAGTTATCAATGTCCCCACAGTAATGACTGATGGTACTTATCAATGTCCCCCACAGTAATGACTGATGGTACTTATCAATGTCCCCCACAGTAATGACTGATGGTACTTATCAATGTCCCCACAGTAATGACTGATGGTACTTATCAATGTCCCCCACAGTAATGACTGATGGTAGTTATCAATGTCCCCACAGTAATGACTGGTGGTACTATCAATGTCCCCACAGTAATGACTGATGGTACTTATCAATGTCCCCCACAGTAATGACTGGTGGTACTTATCAATGTCCCCACAGTAATGACTGATGGTACTATCAATGTCCCCACAGTAATGACTGATGGTACTTATCAATGTCCCCCACAGTAATGACTGGTGGTACTTATCAATGTCTTCACAGTAATGACTGATGGTACTATCAATGTCCCCACAGTAATGACTGATGGTACTTATCAATGTCCCCCACAGTAATGACTGATGGTACTATCAATGTCCCCCACAGTAATGACTGATGGTACTTATCAATGTCCCCCACAGTAATGACTGATGGTACTATCAATGTCCCCCACAGTAATGACTGATGTTACTATCAATGTCCCCCACAGTAATGACTGATGGTACTTATCAATGCCCCATCATAAATGAGAATTATATAAATATTTAAAGGGTTTTGGCCACAATTTTTCATGAAGCTATATATTAAGTCTAAAATGTTGTAATAATGTATGTAGTCTGTGGTATCCCATCTCTCTTGGCACACAGATGAAGGCAAAAGCTGTCTGTGTCCCCTTCAGCTTAATCTGGTCAATATGCATACACTATGTGCAATGTCAAAATGTTCCCTTGACAATAGTGATACCCTGTTTTCTTAATAAAACACTAATACACAGGCCAAGCATATATTAATTTACAAATGTTCAAAATGTTTTAAAAGTGGAACTTGATGTAGTGTATTGTTTACATAATGATGTGAAAAATGAAAAAGTATTTTTCTTCTGATTTTTTTTTAAAGATTTATTTTTAAAGGGATGCAGTTACGTAAACAACCTTGTCTGAGATGATTCATTGGCTCTATGTTAAAAAATGCTGCAGTTAATTGTTATTTTCAACTAGACTTTTTCTTGGTGTGAAAATTATTGATAGTAAATGTTATAAAAATGCTTTTATTGATTATTAGGTAATTGTTGGGTTGTGACATTCTACACATGGATATAACAACACCTCAGAATTAAATTAATGGCAGATATAAAAACTCTGAAATCTTGAGGAAAAAACTAACTTTTGTCATATTTTAATATATGTTTGCAGTAATTTTTAAAGTGATACATTTCAAGACCAAAGCAAACTGATTTCTCTGCATAGTAATTAACACATTGATATTCAGAGATATCTGAATAAAGGTTTCGGCTTGTAAAACTGCCTTCGTGTATGGAATTAACCACAGATGTTAAATGATTATTTGTGAAATGGACCTGTTATTATCACAATGTAAACAAAACAGGAGGTGTTTGGGGACCATTGTTTTTACATATAATAAAGCTTGCCCCACTTGTGCACATAACCCTCACTACATACATTTATACACTACATACATTTATACATACATACATTTATACACTACATACATTTATACTACATACATACACTACATACATTTATACACTACATACATTTATACATACATACATTTATACACTACATACATTTATATACATACATTTATACATACATACATTTATACACTACATACATTTATACATACATACATTTATACACTACATACATTTATACACTACATACATTTATACACTACAAACATTTATACACTACATACATACACTACATACATTTATACACTACATACATTTATACACTACATACATTTATACATACATTTAAACACTACATACATTTATACACCATACATTTATACATACATACATTTATACACTACATACATTTATACACTACATACATACACTACATACATTTATACACTACATACATTTATACACTACATACATTTATACATACAAATTAGCCATTACAGCTTGCCTCTGAGATAATTTCATAATTGTAAATCATGTATTAAGAATTCTTTTATGTAATTTTATGTACATATGAATATCTGGACTTGTGAATGTGTACATATATGATAAAGACAAAAGTACAGGAGTCTTAATGCTCAGAATCCCTCAAGTCATTTAGATTATGCTTTTGCTCCTGAATTTTCACTGGGATTTATATATTTTATCAATTAGTCCTGGATATTACCATAACTCTCTTGTTTATGTTATGATAGTTGACATGTGTACACACGTAAGGAACTGAGCACACATATTATGTGTGTAAATACCTCTGTCATGAAACAGGTTTTTACCTCGGAAACTGATGAACTGAAATCATTAAAGATATTGAACACCTGTATAATCAGATTCCATGTTATATATCAAAAAGTCATTTCATAACAGTAACAGCTGTTCTTACAATGATCATTTATTCGGAGATGTATATAATTGTATGAATGAATATCTCCAACTCACGATCCTTTGATGTAGATTTTCCACTAATTTAGTTTTATTTATTTTGAATAACAATATATTTTAGTTAAAGAATACTTTACTTTCGATCAAGGGCATCATGGAAAAACGGGATTGTATGAGAAGTTTCTGTTATACACTAATGTTTACATATTAGACACTGTCAGTCAAAGTAACAATTTAACATCACATATACCCTGTGATGATAATAATAATAGTCTTTATTTATACTTGATAACAAATTTGAGTCAATGACATATATTACAATTTGGTCAAGTGTTTACTAAAAAATATACAATAT